TTTTTTTTAACCACATTAGGTATTATTATGTATTTAGGTTCATTTTTCACCATTTATTTTGCTTTTTAAACTTTTTGCTGAAAATGAAGACACAGACACATACATATCCTAGGCCTAGGATCATCGATATCACTGTCTTCCACCTCTCTACATCTTGTCCCACAAGACAATCTTCAGAGGCAGTAACATGCATGGAGCTATCGTCTCATATGCCTTTTTCTGGAATACCGTGAAGGACTTACCTGGGGCTGTTTTATAGCTAGCTTAAAAAAGAAATAAGTAGGAGTACATTAAACAAAAGTATAGTATAGCAAATAATAGGCTGTCGGAATTTTCAGCTCTATGATAATCTTATGGGAACCACTGTTGTAAATTTAGCCAGTTGTTGAGTGAAATATTGTTATGTGGCACATGACTACTCAGTTTTAATAAAAGTTCCATGTGCTTGAAAATTGAAAATGTATTTTCCAGCCCAGTCACAGTGGCTCACACCTGTAATCCTAGCACTTTGGGAGGCCGAGATGCGCAGATCACTTGAGTTCAGGAATTCGAGACCAGCCTGGCCAACATGCAAAAACCCCATCTCTACTAAAAATACAAAAAAATTAGCCAGATATGGTGGCTCACACCTGTAATCCCAGCTACTTGAGAGGCTGAGGTAGGAGAATCGTTTGAACCCAGGAGGTGGAGGTTGCACTGAGTGAGATTGCGGCACTGCACTCCAGCATGGGCAACAGAGCGAGATCCTGTCTCCAAAGAAAAAAAGGAAAACAAAATGTATTTTCCACTGCACTGCAGTCTGGGCAACAGAGTGAGATCCTGTCTCCAAAGAAAAAAAGCAAAACAAAATGTATTTTCCATGTGTCACATTGGTCTTTCAATCAGAAGTAGTTAGATAGTTGACACTTTGCTCAGTCCTTCTTAACCACTATGAGACTTTGTTACATTGTGGATAATTTCTTCATAATCTCCCAGTGCTCTAATTCTTTCTTCACCCGTGTGTAATCTGCTATTAAATACATCTGTTTCTAATTTAAATTTTTATTTTTGGAATTACTATTTGGTCATTGTTTTTATATGTGTGATTTTGAAATTTTTTTTTTTTTTTTTTTTTGGAGACGGAGTCTCGCTCTGTAGCCCAGGCTGGAGTGCAGTGGCCGGATCTCAGCTCACTGCAAGCTCCGCCTCCCGGGTTCACGCCATTCTCCGGCCTCAGCCTCCCGAGTAGCTGGGACTACAGGCGCCCGCCACCTCGCCCGGCTAGTTTTTTGTATTTCTTAGTAGAGACGGGGTTTCACCGTGTTATCCAGGATGGTCTCGATCTCCTGACCTCGTGATCCGCCCGTCTCGGCCTCCCAAAGTGCTGGGATTACAGGCTTGAGCCACCGCGCCCGGCCAGAAAATTTTTAAATCTACAGAAAAACTTCGAAAATTAGTAAAATGAACATTAAGTTAAATTTCACCTAGATTAACCAACTATTAACATTTTACCACATTTGTGTCTTTTTTTTTTTTTTTTTTTTTTTTTTTTTGAGATGGAGTCTTGCTCTGTCGCCCACCCTGGAGTGCAATGACGCGATCTCCGCTCACTGCAACGCCCGCCTCCTGGGTTCAAGCGATTCTCCTCCCTTAGCCTCCAGAGTAGCTGGGATTACAGGTGTGCACCACTAGGCCTGGCTAATTTCTGTATTTTTAGTAGAGATGGGGTTTTACCATGTTAGCCAGGCTGGTCTCAAACTCCTAACCTCAAGTGACCTGCCCACCTCCCAAACCACGTTTGTTTTTTTGTTTTTTTTGAGACAGTGCCTCACTCTGTTGCCCAGGCTGTAGTGCAGTGGCGCGATCTCGGCTCACTGCAAGCTCTGCCTCCTGGGTTCACGCCATTCTCCTGCCTCAGCCTCCTGAGTAGCTGGGATTACAGGCACCCACCACCATGCCCAGCTAATTTTTTGTATTTTTGAGTAGAGACAGGGTTTCACCATGTTAGCCAGGATGAAACCACATTTGTTTTAATTGTACCTTTTTTTTTTCTTTTTTGCTTAACCATTTTGAAATTGCAAACTTTATAATCCTTCACTCTAAGTACTTTAGTATGTATATCATAAGAACAAGAATATTATATTCATTGATAATTTAGTTTTTACTCCCATCACTCAGAACAAAGGTATAGTTTGTTTATAGTCTCCCTCTGGGGCCAGTAATTTTTCTAGTTTATCTTTTTTTGGTGGGTGTCACCTCACATGGACCCTAGGTTTGTCCTGTCTTTTCTTCCTCCAACATAACTCCCCCCAATTCTCTCACCTCCCTTGGTATATTAACACCTAGAACTTTGGCCCATTGGCTCTCAAAATCTGGTTTCTGGACCAGCAGCTCACCATGACCTGTGGATTAGAAATGCAAATTGTCAGGGTCCTCCCAATATCTATTGAATTAGAAAGTCTAGGGGCAGGGCTTTGCAATCCACAACTTGAGAAATTCTCCAGGTGATTCTTATGCACAACGCTTTATGCTAAGGGTGGCAAATTTTTCTTTTTCTTTTTCTTTTTCTTTTTTTTTTTTTTTAGATGTGTCTTGCTCCGTCACTCAGGCTGGAGTGCAATGGTGCAATCTTGGCTCACTGCAACCTCAACCTCCCGGGTTCAAGCAATTCTCCTGTCTCAGCATCCCGAGTAGCTGGGACTACAGGCGCACACCACCACACCTGGCTAATTTTTGTATTTTTAGTAAAGACAGGGTTTCACCATATTGGTCAGGCTAGTCTCGAACCCCTAACCTTAGGTGATCCACCCACTTCGGCCTCCCAAAGTGCTAGAATTACAGGAGTGAGCAGGAGTGAGCCACTGTGCCCGGCCTTTTTTTTTTTTTTTTTTTCTTTTTTCTATATATATATAGAAAAAAAAATATATATAGAAAATATATATATAATATATATATAGAAAAATGTATATATTTTATATATATAAAATATATTTTTATATATATAGAAAAAAATATATGTTTTTTTTTATATATATATTTTTTTTGTCTGAGACAGGGTCGCACAGGCTGGAGTACAGAGACGCAATCACAGCTCACTGCAGCTTCAACTTCCTGGGCTCAAGAGACCCTCCTGCCTCAACCTCCCCAGTAGTTAGGACTACAGGTGTGCGCCACCATACCCAGCTACTTTTTAATTTTTTTTTGTTTAATTTTTTTTTTTTTTTCTAAAACCTTTTTAGAAACAAGGTCTCACTATGTTGCCCTGGCTGGTCTCAAACTCCTGGGCTCAAGCAATCCTCTTGCCCCTGCCTCCCAAAGTGCTGGGATTACAGGCATGAGCCACGTGCCCCACCAACTTTGTAAAGGATCAGACAGTAAATATTTTAGGCTTCTCAGGCCACATGCTCTTTTTTGTTTTGTTTTTGTTTTTTGAGACAGCATCTTACTGTGCCGCCCAGGCTGGAATGCAGTGGCATGATCTCAGCTGACCACAACCTCCACCTCCTGGGTTCCAGCAATTCTCCTGCCCCAGCTTTTGAATAGCTGAGATTACAGGTGCCTGCCACCATGCGTGGCTAATTTTTGTATTTTTAGCAGAAATGGGGTTTCACCATGTTGGCCAGGCTGGTCTTGAACTCCTGACCTCAGGTGATCCACCTGCCTCGGCCTCCCAAAGTGCTGGGATTACAGGCATGAGCCACCACACCTGGCCATCATACTTTGAAAAAAAAATACGTTTATTTTATTTTTGTTTATTAAAAATATGGAATGTGGCCGGGTGCAGTGGCTTACGCCTGTAATCCCAGCACTTTGGGAGATCTAGGCGGGAAGATCACCTGAGGTCAGGAGTTCGAGACCAGCCTGGCCAACATGGTGAAACCCCACCTCTATTAAAAATACAAAAATTAGCTGAGTGTAGTGGTTCAGACTTGTAATCACAGCTACCTGGGACTCTCAGGCAGGAGGATCACTTGAACCCGGGAGGCAGAGATTGCAGTGAGCCAAGATCGAACCACTGCACTCCAGCCTGGGTGACAGAGCAAGACTCTGTCTCAAAAAAGACAACGGAGAATCTGGCTGGGCGCAGTGGCTCATGCCTGTAATCCCAGCAATTTTGGAGGCTGAGTTGGGTGGATCACTCTAGGCCAGGAGTTCGAGACTAGCCTAGCCAAACACAGTGAAACCTGTCTCTATTAAAAATACAACAACAACAACAGCAAATTAGCTGGGTGTGGTGGCACATGCCTGTAATCCCAGCTACTCGGGAGGCTGAGGCACGAGAATCGCTGAAGCTGGGCAGGCAGAGGTTGCAGTAAGCTGAGATCATGCCACTGTACCTCAGCCTGGGTGACAAGAGTATGACTTTATATTGTACTGCCATAACATTTTAATTCAAATAGAATATAACTTAATTGTAAGGGTAATCCCTAATATTTAGTTTTGAATTGTTTTAAAATTATAAAATGGTAGAGCTGGAAAGGTTTTGTAGTCTAATAACCGCCTGTTTCTGTTGAAGCAGAAATTGGGCCAGACGCAGTGGCTCATACCTGTAATCCCAGCACTTTGGGAGGCCAAGGCAGGTAGATCGTTGGAGGTCAGGAGTTCGAGACCAACCTGGCCAACATGAGGAAACCCTGACTCTACTAAAAATACAAAAACTAGCCGGGCATGGTGGCGGGCACCTGTAATCTGAACTGCTTGGGAGGCCGGGGCAGGAGAATCTCTTGAACCCAGGAGATAAAGGTTGCAGTGAGCCAAGATCATGCCATTGCACTCCAGCCTGGGCAACAAGAGCAAAACTCTGACTCAAAAAAAAAAAGAAAAGAAAAGGTTAGAGAGTCTTGCCCCAGATTGCATAATCAGTCATTGTCAAAATCCTCACTGGAGCCCAGGTACTCATGCAGTCTTTTGCCCCCTGTAGTCTCACCACATTAAATTCTAAAGTTTGTTTAAAAATCTGAATCCTGATTTTGTTCGCTATTGTAATTTTTTTCTGATTTTTATTTTCCTCCTCATTTCAGGCCGGGATAGAAAATCGTCAGCTGGACACAGTAAATTTCTTTTTGAAGAGCAAAGAAAATCTTTTTAATCCATCCTCAAAATCTTCTGTATCTGATCAGTTTGATCACTTTTCATCCCATTTATATTTAAGAAGTAAGTGGAATAAAGATTTCTACATTCGTATTTATCATTTGATCTTCTTAATAACTTTCAAATTATGATCTTGTGGTTTCTGATGACTCATTTACTTGCCAAAACTTAGTCATGGGATTTTATATACTTTTTGGAAACTTTCTTCTTCCTTTTTTTTTTTTTTTTTTTTTGCATCACAGTCTCACTCTGTTGCCTAGGCTGGAGTGCAGTAGTATAATGACAGCTCACTGCAGCCTCCCCTCCTGGGCTCAAGCAATCCTCCCACCTCGGCCTCCTGAGTAGCTGGGACTACAGGTGCATGCCACCACACTCAGCTATTTTTTGTAGAGAATGGGGTCTCACTGTGTTCCCCAGGCTGGTCTCAAACTCCTGGGCTCAAAACAATCCTCTGCCTCCCAAAGTGCTGGGATTACAGGTGCGAGCCACTATGCCTGGACAACTATGTGGAAATTTGGCAGTGTTATCTGATTCTATAAATGTCCTCATACTATATGGGCTATTTATTGTTCATATCTTGTACTATACTCTGTTTGTAGTATGCAAGGAAGAGACAATCTTTTAAATTCAAGACAGTTTTATACACGACAGAAAAACATTTATTTGGAAAATTGCCTGCCCTTGCAACCATCTGAGATGTGTATTGACAGTTGTGGATTAGGATATGTTGTAAGAATTTTTGGTGGGATGCAGTGGCTCGCCCTGTAATCCTAACACTTTGGGGGCAAGATGGGAGGATCGCTTGAGTCCAGGAGTTTGAAACCAGTCTGGGGAACATAGCAAGACCCCATTCTACAAAAAAAGTTTAAAAATTAGTTGGGCATGATGGCACATCCTGTAGTCCCAACCACTTGCAAGGCTGAGGCAGAGGATTGCTTGAGTCTGTGGGGAGGTCTAGGCTGCAGTGATCTGTGATTGTGCCACTGCGCTCCAGCCTGATTGCAAAGTAAGACTGTCTCAAAAAAAAAAAAAAAAAAAAAAAAAATTCACCTGGACCTTTCTGCTTTTTTGCCACACTACCAACACGTTTCAAGATTTTGGCTTTCATTTTTAACAAATAGGAAGCCTAACTTTTATTCTTGGACCAGGTAGCCATGCAAATTCTCTCCTTAGGACAACAGGATAATAAAGTATATTTTCCCCTTGTTAAACAAAAATTATGGAGACCATTGTTTTGGTGTAAGCTGTACTAGGCCCCATCAGACCAGAACAGAAATCAAAATGAAGTCAACTATGCTAAAGTTCCATAGCATCAAAACTTAAAATAAGGTGGTCTTCTGACATTGGGAGAAATTAGGAGAGAGCCAATAATCCCAAACAGTCCAGTTTCAATCTTCAATCAGCGTGATAATGAAGTTCCCTCTGATATAATCCTTATGTAAAAGAAGTAACGTAGGCCAGGTGCAGTGGCTCATACCTGTAATCCCAGCACTTTCAGAGGCTGAAGCGGGAGGATCTCTTGAGCCCAGGAGTTTGACTGGCATGGGTAATATAGTGAAACCTTACCTCTACAAAAAATTTAAAAATTAGCCAGGCGTGGTGGTGTGCATGTGTGGTCTCAGCTACTCAGGAAAGGGAGGTAGGAGGATTGCTTGAACCTGGGAGGTTGAGGATGCAGTGAGCCATCATCATGCCATTGCACTCCCATCTGGACAACAGAGTGAGACTCTGTCTCAAAAAAAAAAAAAAAGGCTGGGTGCAGTGGCTCATGCCTATAATCCCAACACTTCAGGAGGCCCAGGCGGGAGAATCACTTGAGACCAAGAGTTCATGACCAGCCTGAGCAACATAGTGAGACTCTGCCTCTATTTTTAATTGGGAAAAAAGCCTGAAGTAGCTTCATGTTAAATAATCAGTATTTTTTCTATTATTCTGTCTCTCTTTATCTTACAAAAAAAGTAGCTTTGAAACAACCAATATGCTTCTGCTCTCTTCAGCTCTTCTGTGTCCATAAAGCCAAACCCTCTGCTCAACTCACTAGAATACCTTTTCCATGTTATGAAATTAAGTGTTGCCACATTCTAGAATTGCAATAAAACCAATTGAGATCTTTAATCTGAATTTATTGTAATTTTTGTTCTTTGACACTCTGTAAATACGGTTTTATAGTCTGTTTTTTCCCACTTCATACTATAGACATCTTTGTTAGTAATATATACTTACTAATTATGATGATACAGAATTTCATTGTATGGGCTGTACCATAATTTGCCAAGCCAAACTCCTGTTAGACATTTAGATTTATTCCAGTTCTTTGCTATTAGCAGTGTGTAAGAAATGCTGTATGTGTGTAATTTCACATATATATAATCATTTACTTATATTACTAGAATTTATTATTAAATTCTAGACCTGGAATTTCCAGGTTTAAGAGTATGCACAAATTATATTTTTAAACACCTTGATAAATTGTCCTTCAAAAGTTTTACCAATTTGTAGTCTACTTACATGGAGAAAATGACAACCTGCTCTTTTTCCACTGATGTAGTATTAGCTTTCACTGAGAAAATGAATTGGATGTTTTCTTTTTTTTCTCCCTAAATCTCATATATGGTGGAAAGATATTTTCTTTTAAAAACACATTCTCAGACTGGGTACAGTGGCTCACGCCTATGATCCCAGCACTTTGGGAGGCCGAGATGGGCGGATCACGAGGTCAGGAGTTCGAGACCAGCCTGATAACATGGTGAAACCCCATCTCTACTAAAAATATAAGAATTAGCCGGGTGTAGTGGTGCATGCATGTAATCCCAGCTACTCAGGAGGCTGAGGCAGAATCACTTGAAGCGAGGAGGTGGAGGTTGCAGTGAGCCGAGATCGCTCCGTTGCACTCCAGCCTGGGGGACAAGAGTGAAACTCCGTCTCAAAAAAACAAAAACACACATTCTATTTTGTTTTGAGTGCAGAGTTTGGTCTCCTCTTTCTTGGATTGCCAGCTTTTCTAATGTTCTGATGTTTTAAAAACTGCTTGAATTTATAGAAAAAGGCCTGATTTTGGTGTTGAGCAGAGCTCCATCAGCAGTTGTAGAGTCATTATTCACTTCTGTTCTTCGGTGGTTAGTGGTTTCTCCTCATTCCACTCTCACCTGCACTGCTCAGCTCTAAAGGGTGGAGATGGGTCCGGAATGAGAAGCACTGGGAATAGCCTTACCTGCTCTCCTAGGGGGAAAACCTGTTTCCCATAATTCTTGTACATCTCACAGATGTAATCCTAAAGTGGGGGGCAGTGCTGAGACAAACAGGAATCACTTAATTAGAGCCTTCAGCTGCAGATAAAACAACCAGGGGCCCACACTTCTTGCTTTCACTTGAATGTTTAGCACAGAATAGCTTTGCGATCAGACAGGCTTAAATTCACATTTTGGCCCTGCCACTTACTTTCTTTTTCTTTTTTCACGCTGTTGCCCAGGCTGCTTTAGTGCGGTTGTGCAATCTTCGCCCACTGCAACCTCCACCTCCCGGGTTCAAGCAATTCTCCTGCCTCAGCCTCCTGAGTAGCTGGGATTACAGGCGCCCACTAGCATGCCTGGCTAATTTTTGTATTTTTAGTAGAGGCGGGGTTTCACCATGTTAGCCAGGCTGGTCTCGAACTCCTGAGCTTAAGGGATCCGCTTGCCTTGGCCTGCCAAAGTGTTGGGATTACAGGCGTGAGCCACCGCGCCTGGCCCTGCCACTTACTTTCTAAATTAGCTCGGGCAAGTCTCTGAACCTCAGTTTTTTAAATCTATGTAAAAAGAATATAATACACACCTACCTCTTAAGTTGTTGAAAGGAATAAATGAGATAGCATTTATAAAACAACAAGTACAGTACTTAAGATGTAGGTGGTCAGCAAAAGGGTAGTTAGCAGTGATACCAGTAAATGATAACTATTAATAATTAGAATCATTAAATTTTGCAGGTAATAAGCCTGCATAAAAGTTTTGTGAGCTTTTTGAAAATAAGACATTGGTCCTTGTTTTATGTTTAAAAATATTGTAACATGATATTTTTTGATATGTTAATTTTATTGTGAGAATCCTGGTATTCTTCATGTTAATTTCTTTGGTTCTTTCTCAGATGTGGAAGAGCTGATGCCAGCATTGGATTTACTTTGCTCAGCAATTAGAGAAAGTTATTCTGAACCCCAAAGCAAACACTTTTCAGAACAATTGCTTAATCTTACACTGTCTTTCCTTAACAACCAAATAAAGGAGCTTTTTATTCACACTGAAGGTAAGAATAGCAGCTAGGAAGGGGGCAATTCTGTTCCTGTGTCAGAACAGATACAAGTGCTGCCATTGGGTGACACAGCATAAACAGGTGACATGCCATTTACTACATTTGGGTAAGGGTAGTGTGTAATTGAGTAAGTGAAATGGGTTTTGATACTGAGAAAGTTGGTAGAAAGACCCAGGACTAATCATGAAGAACAAGAAAAGGAAAGGGTTGTATTAAAATACAGAGCTACTTACTTGTAAACAGGAAAATCCTCACACATGTTGTTTGAAATTTAAAAATAGCAAGTTTGAATTTGGACTTTCTTTAGAATTCTTTATAATAGCTCATGGTTTATATTTATACACCCACACATACAAATTGGCACATTGGTATTTTCCATAGAACTAGATGAACATCTGCAAAAAGGAGTGAACATTTTGACTAGCTACATTAATGAACTTCGAACCTTCATGATAAAGTTTCCTTGGAAGCTAACAGATGCTATAGATGAATATGATGTACATGAAAATGTCCCCAAAGTAAAGGAGAGCAATATATGGAAGAAACTCAGCTTTGAGGCAAGTATGAGTAAATATCACTTCTTTTATTTGCTAGATTCAGAAGATCTGAGAAAACAATAGAAAAAACAGAATTCAGACTTTATACACTTGTGATTCAGAATGTTTGGCAAAGGTTTTAGGTTTTATTGGTTTTGAGATTTCTGATTATGACTTCAAATTCATGTCTACAAGCTCTGTTTATTTAATTCCTTTATTTAATTCCATATTATTTAATAATATGGGTAGGCTCCCTCTTAATGCTAGATCTGCCCACTTGGGTTCGGTAACAAACACCCAACTCTAAACCCATGTGAAGTGGCACTTCCTTAGCAATACTCCTTCATTGACTCAAGCCTGGCACTTTGGACTCATGCATTCTGCCTGACCTCTGGATAAATTGAATTGCTGCTGCTGATTAGATCTTTGGAAATTTTTATTTTATGACATTATTACTTAGAGGTATACTTAATTTTAGTCCTATCTGAAATTCTGTTTAAGACATTTTGCCAGTTAAATTTGTTTCCGTTTGCCTTTTTTTCCTCCACAGTAAAAGTTATAATAATACAACTAAAATTTACTACCATCTATATGACTTAGGGACTGGAAGAATTCCTTCATCCACTGGAGGGTATTGGTATTTTAAAAACAAATGCTAAAACAGCTTAACACAGATGATCATAATCAATAGGGAATTAAAGTGATAAGATTGAGATGCTTCTAGGTTGTTAAGATTGCTGTTCTTGGGGTGGAGGGATTAAAGTACCTGGTGTGACTGCATTTTCTGTATCTCTTATTCATTCTGTAACCTTAAAAAGGAAGAAATGATCCGGGCACAGTGGCTCATGCCTATAATCCCAGCACTTCAGGAGGCCGAGGCCGGCAGATCGCAAGGTCAGGAGTTCGAGACAAGCCTGACCAAATGGTGAAACACTGTCTCTACTAAAAATATAGAAAAATTAGCCAGGTGTGGTGGCGGACACCTGTAGTCCCAGCTACTCGGGAGGCTGAAGCAGGAGAATTGCTTGAACCTGGGAGGTGGAGGTTGCAGTGAGCCGAGATCGCACCACTGCACTTCAGCCCAGGCGACAGTGTGAGACTCTGTTTCAAAAAAAAAAAAAAAACAAGAAATTACTGGCCAGGCGCGGTGGCTCACGCCTGTAATCCCAGCACTTTGGGAGGCTAAGCGAGGTGGACCACGAGGTCAGGAGATCGAGACCATTCTGGCTAACGCAGTGAAACCCCTTCTCTACTAAAAATACAAAAAATTAGCCAGGTGTAGTGGCGGGCACCTGTAGTCCCAGCTGCTCCAGAGGCTGAGGCAAGAGAATGGCGTGAACTTGGGAGGCAGAGCTTGCAGTGAGCTGAGATCGCGCCACTGCACTCCAGCCTGGGCGACAGAGCGAGACTCTGTCTCAAAAAAAAAAAAAAGAAAAAAGAAAAAAAAGAAATTACTTTTCCTTCTACTTTTTTGTCTCCTTTTTCCTGTCTCCTTCACAGGTTTCTCTTCCTGTTTCCCTCAATGTTCTGCAAGGCTCTGTCTGTGGTCTACTCAGAATCACTGATTTTCAACTTTTTCCAGGGGAAGGGGTTATAGTTTACTTTGATAAAAATTGTAGACCCTGTCTTCAAAAACAGGCATGTGAATGTGTACACATAAATTTTGTACATGGCACAATGGGGTTTACAGATCTCTTTAAAGCCTTAGGTTAAGAAGGCCTCCTTTCTATTCTCTCTAGGGTTTAGATCTTCAGTTTAAGTATTTCTTTTCATGTGGATTATTGGTAGTAGCCTTCTAATGCCTTAATATCTCGAGCTTGAATCACTTTCAGTCCACTCTCTATATTGCTGCCTGGATATTTTTCTGTAAATATGTATCTGATTACATCACATCTTGCTTTTACAGTCTTTCAGTGGCTCCACGTAGTTTCAGGATAAAATCTAACTCAAATGCAAGGCTCTTCATGATGGATCCTCTGCTTTGCTTTTAAGTCTCATCTGCTGCTCTCTCCAGTTATATTGAGTAATTTGTAGTTCCCTGAAGGCTTGATGCAGTTTCTTTTCTTTGTCTCTCTGCATATGATACTCCCTCTTTTTGGAACACCTGTCCTCTTATCTCAATATATCTGTGGAACACTTACTGGTCTTTAAATTTTTTGTCTTATCAGTTACTAGTTACTTCTACTATCAAGCCTGTGCGGGAGGGCTACGGGGGCGGGTGGTCATCACTTTTATTTAGATGTTGCTCTTCTGGACCTTCCTCTCTAACACCCTGGGATACTTTTGTCACAGCACTTGTCATACAGTACTATAATCAGTATGTCTTCCACTAGCTCCTGGAGTTGTAAGGTCTTAGTTTTACTCAATTTTATATCCCTTGAACCTAACTCCAAATCTAGTAATCGATTTTAAATAAAAGTTCCTTTGTTAGATGTTCAGTAAATGTATAAATCCCATGTTGATAATCATAATAAGGAAATGAAAAGGAACTTAAAAGGCAAACGTTTTTCTTTTCCTAGGAAGTTACTGCCAATGCCATTTTAAACAACAGAATACCAGAGGCACAGACTTTCTTCAGGATTGATAGTCATTCTGCTCAGAAACTTGAGGAGCTGATTGGCATAGGCCTAAATTTGGTCTTTGACAATTTAAAAAAGAACAATATAAAGGAAGCCTCTGAACTTTTGAAGAATATGGTGAGTGGTGTAATCCATAAAGTCTTAAAATGTATTTAATATAATTTCTAGTTACTATAAAGTTGGTTTGTATTCATAATTATTTCATAAACTAAGAAATTTATGTAGTGGATAATGACACTAAAAAATAATGACATTAATAACACTGAGAACAGCTGGGTGTGGTGGCTCATGTCTATAATCCCAGCACTTTGGGAGGTTGAGGCAGGAAGATCACTTGAGGCCAGGAATTCAAGACTGGCATAGGCAGCATAGCAAGACCCTGTCTCTACAAAAAATAAAAAAATAAAAAGGACATGGTGGCTTGCACCTTGTCTTAGTCTGTCCTCATATTGCTATAAAGAACTACCTAAGCCGGGCATGGTGGCTCATGCCTGTAATCTCGGCACTTTGGGAGGATGAGGTAGGTGGATCACCTGAGGTCAGGAGTTTGAGACCAGCATGACCAACATGGCACAACCCCGTCTCTACTAAAACTACAAAAATTAGCCAGGTGTGGTGGCAGGAGCCTGTAATCCCAGCTACTAGGGAGGCTGAGGCAGGGAAAATTGCTTGAACCCAGCAGGCGGAGGTTGCAGGGAGCCAAGATGGTGCCACTGCATTCCAGCCTGGGCAACAGAGCAAGACTCCATCTCAAAAACTAAATAAATAATAATGAACTACCTGAGACTGGGTAATTTAGAAAGAAAAGAGGTTTAATTGGCCCACAGTTCCACAGGCTATACAGGAAGAATGGCTGGGGAGGCCTCAGGAAACTTGTAGTCATGGTGGAAGATGAAGGGGAAGCAGGCATGTCTTACATGGCAGGAGAAAGAAGAAGAGAGCAGTGGGGAGGTGCTACACACTTTTAAACAACTAGATATCATGAGAACTCACTCACTGTCACAAAAACAGCAAGGGGGAAGCCCACCCCCATGATCCAGTCACCTCCCACCAGGTCCCTTCTCCAACATTGGGGGTTACATTTCAACATGAGATTTGGGCACAGGCACAGATCCAAACCATATCACACCTGTAGTCCTAGCTACTCAGAAGGCTGAGGCAGAAGGATCTCCAGGAGTTCTAGGCTGTGGGGAACTATGATTGCACCTATAAATAGCTGGTAACAGAGCAAGACCGTGTCTCTAAATCTAAAAGGGAAATAACACTGAGAAACGTTTTGGTACTGAGAACTTTCTTTTTTTTTTTTTGTTTTTGTTTTTGAGACGGAGTTTCGCTCTTGTTGCCCAGGCTACAGTTCTATGGTGCGATCTCGGCCCACATAACCTCCACCTCCCAGGTTCAAATGATTCCCCTACCTCAGCCTCCCAAGTAGCTGGGATTACAGGCATGTGCCACCATGCCCAGCTAATTTTGTGTATTTTTAGTAGAGACAGGGTTTCTCCATGTTGGTTAGTCTGTGAGCCACCCACCCTGACCTCCCAAAATGCTGGGATTACAGGCGTGAGCCACCGTGCCTGGCCTGAGAACTTTTTTGAAGATATTTTTCCTCTAATTTTATTTAGGTATGAGTGACAGAAATTACATATATTTAAGGTATACAGTATGATGTTTTGATATGTATGTACATTGTGAAAAGATTACCACAAGTAAGCTAATTAATATATCACCTCACATAGTTATGTGTGTATATATAGTGAGAACACTTGAGATCTACTCTCAACAAATTTCGAGTATACAATGTATTATTATTAACTTTAGTTACTGTGCTGTACATAGGTCCCCAGAACTTACTTATCTTGTATCTCAAAGTTTGTACCTTTTGACCAATATCTACTCCTTTCCCCTACCCCACAGTCCCTGATAATATCATTCTACTCTCTATTACTGTGAGTTCAGCTTTTTCTTAGATTCCATATATAAGTAAGAGCATGAAGAATTTGTCTTTCTGTGTCTGGCTTATTTCATTTAACACAATATCCTCCAGGTTCAGCCATGTTGTTTACAATTGCAGGTTTTCCTCTCTCTCTCTCTCTCTTTTTTTTTTTTTTTTTGTAGAGACAGAGTCTCACTATGTTGTCCAGGCTGGTCTCGAACTTTTGGGCTCAAGCAATCCTCCTGCCTTGGTCTCCCAAAGTGCAGAGATTATAGGCGTAAACCAGCACAATTGGTCTTTCCTTCTTTTTTTTTTTTTTTAAGGCCAAATAATATTCCTTTGTATATATACACCACATTTTCTTTATCCATTCATCTGTTGATAGACACTTAGGTTATTTCCATATCTCTTGAAGAGATTTTTAAATGGCATTTAAAAGTACTCTCTGAGCTGGGTGCAGTGGCTCACACCCGTAATCCCAGCACTTTTGGAGGCTGAGACAGGCAGATCACTTGAAGCAGGAGTTTGAGACCAGCCTGGCCAATGTGGTAAATGCTGTCTCTACTAAAAAAAACAAAAATTAGCCAGGTGGGTAATGCATGCCTGTAATCCCAGCTATTTGGGAGGCTGAGGCACGAAAATCGTTTGAACCCATGAGGCAGAGATTGCAGTGAGCTGAGATCACGCCACTGCATTCCATCCAGCCTAGGTGATGGAGCAAGACCCTGTCTCAAAAAAAAAAAAAGAAAAGAAAAGAAAAGAAAAATACTCTGTTAGACCTGGCACTTTGATTAGGAGGAGATAGTGTTTCTCATAGAAGACTTCACACATGTTGAAGCATGCATAAGAGCTCATTATTTGTTGGAGGACATTCTGTATTGTTCATGTGACCCCTTACATCTCCACTTGAAGTTTCTAGTAAATTATGCCTTTGCTGGACTTTTTGCTCTATGGTTTTACTTCACATGAGAAGGGGAAGTCCTAGAAGTAAGGCTTTTAGGCTAAGCTGAGATCTAGCCCTAATCTGCATGGTTGGGGTCTTGCCCATGGTAGCTTTCAGGAGGTGCAGAGGAGTGGAACTATGTAAGAGGGATGTTGTTTGCATTGATCATTGTTTCCACTTGAATCAACATACCAGATTGCTGTCATTTTGGTCCTGTCGTAACCTAGCATTGCCTTAAATTGTTCTGTGTGCTGCCTTTGCTCTGACAAAATGCTTAAGGACTTTAGGGATAGGCAATAAATACATATAATAAATGTAGGAGGGCCAGGCAGGGTGGCTCACGCCTGTTATCCTAGCACCTTGGGATGCTGAGGCAGGAGGATCACTTGAGCCCAGGAGTTCAAGACCAGTCTGGGCAACATGAAGAAATCCCATCTCTACAAAAAATACAAAAATTAGCCAGGCATGGTGGCGCACACCTGTAGCCCCAGCTACTTGGGAGGCTGAGTCGGTAGGATCACTTTGAGCCTGGGGGTCGAGGCTGCAGTGATCTGTGATCACACCACTGTACTCCAGCCTGGGCAGCACAGTGAGACTGTCTCAAAAAGAAAAAAAAAATTAGGAAAATGAATGTTTGAAAAAGCAGAAAGGTCTTTGGAAAGCTATGGAATTCTAACAAGATAGATGTTTATAATAGGGTGTTTCTGTATCTAACACATTTTTTTATGTTCAAAATAGTTCCATTACAAAATGTAACTTTTTTTGGTTTTCTATGTTTATTTTAGGGGTTTGATGTAAAAGGCCAATTGCTCAAGATATGCTTCTACACAACTGATAAACATATACGTGACTTTTTGGTAGGTAAAGGTGAGACTATGTAGTATACATTTTCTAGAAAGCCTGCGTGAAAAACTTGGAAGAAAACCTTGGAAGAAAAACTTTAAGTAATTTTAATGTTCAACTAATATCTAATAAGTAAAAGTGTGACAACCCCTTCATCTTTTTTTTCCCCTTCATCTTTTTTTTCCCCTTCATCTTTCTTAAGTGACTATTTTACATTTGTGGCAAAAGAAAATTTGTGTTTAATATACATTGACTCAAATGTTCAAAATATAATTCTTGAATGGCATATCATCTCATTACTTTTTTTCTAATCTTTAATTCTCAGCACTATCTTCTTTGATAATCTCATGACATTTTTTGCAAATGTGCTTGATTTTTGTAAAGTCACTGCTTTTTATTCAAGGTTGAAATTTTAAAAGAAAAAAATTATTTTTCTGAAAAAGAGAAAAGAACTATAGACTTCGTGCATCAAGTTGAGAAGCTTTATTTGGGACATTTCCAAGAAAATATGCAAATCCAGTCATTTCCCAGGTAGTCTCATTAGTCTCCTTTTGATAATATTAGAATACTGTAGATAGTATTTAGTTTATAATTGTTAGTGAGCGCAAGTTTCTTATGTGGAACTGAGCCTGCATTCTCCATGGAGATAAAACTTGTATCAGACAGAAGGGACTCAAGAGTTTTCTGTCATTTTAATATTTGCATAATCAGAATTATGTGTTCTCCAAAAGAGTAGATGTTCTTGAGCAGATAAAAAAGGAATGATGTCTTTTTCTCCAAAATTAAAAAACAATTTATATCACTGTTTTTAGGTATTGGATAAAGGAACAAGATTTTTTCAAGCACAAATCCGTTTTGGACTCATTCCTGAAATATGATTGTAAAGATGAATTTAACAAACAGGACCATAGAATTGTGTTAAATTGGGCTCTGTGGTGGGATCAACTAACACAGGAATCCATCATTCTCCCCAGGATAAGTCCAGAAGGCAAGTGTGAGAGAGCCTGAAATATGAGCATACTGAATGAGGATTAAATTGGGTATTGGTATTTGAATATTTTGATGTGTCTCAATTTTAGAATTCCTTTTGGGAAATAATATTCAGGTTTTTTAAAATGCAAATCATTGCATTAAGACCTCTTTCTTATCCCAGAGTTTCTGGGAGGGATTTATAATGTGCTAATAAAAGGAAAAAAAAAAATAGTTAATTGAGATTTCAAGGTTGAGTTTTCATTCCAGCTTCAAAGTGACAATCTTTGTTTTTGCAAATAGTCTGAGTTTCTTGTGTAAACTGGGGATCTGTGCCATGATATAGGGGATCTGGGGCATAACTGTGGTAAACGGTAGCAATTCAGAGAGTAAAATTCTGGCTTACTATTATAGCTGAAGTTTTTGTTTATTATTTTTAATTCATCTTTTTCTTTTCATCCTTACCCTTCTGAAATAAAGTTTTTATTTATATTAAGGGAAAGAGAAGGGAAAAAGAGGGTTGAACAGGTAAGTGAAATGTACAGCTAATACGTAAGTTTCATTTTAACCACCATAGTAATTAGAAGCTACATCTAGCTCTTTGGCTGTAATACTGATTTTAAAATGAACAGCGCGGCCAGGCACGATGGCTCACACCTGTAATCCCAGCACTTTGGGAAGCCGAGATGAGAAGATTGCTTGAGGCCAGGAGTTCAAGACCAGCCTAGCAACATAGTGAGACCCCCATCTCTACAGAATATATATTTTTTAAATTACCTGGGCAGCCAGGCGTGGTGGCTAACGCCTATAATGCCAGCACTTTGGGAGGCTGAGGCAGGCGAATCACCTAAGGTCAGGAGTTCAAGACCAGCTTGGCCAACATTGTGAAACCCTGCTTCTACTAAAAATACAACAATTAGCTGGGTGTGGTGGTGCATGCCTGTAATCCCAGCTACTTGGGAGGCTGAGGCAGGAGAATCACTTGAACCTGAGAGGCGGAGGTTGCAGTGAACCGAGATCTTATCACTGCACCCCAGCCTGGGCAACAGAGCGAGACTCTGTCTCGGAAAAAAAAAAAGAAAAAATTTACCTAGTCATGATGGCACATTCCTGCAGTCCCTGCTACTTGGGCAGTTGAAGTAGGAGTACCGCTTGAGCCCAGGAGGTCAAGGCTGCCGTGAGTGCACCACTGTACTCCAGCCTGGGCAACACAGCGAGACCCTGTCTCAAAAAAAAAAAAAAAGAAAATAGTAAAAGAAACAGAGGATTTTATATAAAATAATAAAAGAAACTGAATAATTAACATATTGTATAAATAGTTATGTCCAGATTGTTACATTTGCTCAGTAATTTAGTGTTCAGTTACATGTCAATAAACATAATTATGTTTTAAAATGTGTTTTGTTCTTCATGTAGAATACAAATCATATTCCCCTGAAGCCCTCTGGAGATACCTCACAGCTCGCCATGATTGGTTAAACATTATCTTATGGATTGGAGAATTTCAAACCCAGCATGGTTATACTTCATTTCAGCAGAACAAATGGCCCCTTCTGACTACTGATGTTATTAACCAGAATACTTCCTGTAACAACTACATGAGGAATGAAATTTTAGATAAGCTGGCCAGGTATTGTAACTGTTGAACTAATCCCCAGTGGGAAGAGTACAAGGGAAGAGCAAGAAAAAATAATGGTGTAGCATTTTCCTTTGAAAATGCAAAAAATCCAATGCAGTGCTGTTTCATATTACTATAAAATTTAAAGGGTATCATCTTACAGTGAAGTTTTAAAGTCATATTCATATGGCCAGGCGCGATGGCTCATGCCTGTAATCCCAGCAATTTGGGAGACCAAGGCGGGCAGATCACCTGAGGTTAGGAGTTCAAGACAAGTCTGGCCAAAACCCTGTCTCTACAAAAATACAAAAATTAGCCAGGCATAATGCCAGGTAATCTCAACTACTTGGGAGGCTGAGGTTGCAGTGAGCCGAGATCGCGCCATTGCACTCCAGCCTGGGCGACAGAGCGAGACTCCATCTCAAAAAAAAAAAAAACAGGCATTTTACGTCATGTGGGTAGTAAATAAGCTCTTAAGTTCTAGTTGCAGGCTCCTCCCAAAACATTTTATGCACTTTGGTATAGAAATGTTCAGTTTTCAGTAGGGCTATAAGGAACAAGTGACAAAAGCTGAGAAGGGCATATCTTAGTATCCTGTCTCCTGTGCTTCGTATTGCTACGTGTGTGCTGTGCATGTTCTTGAAGTAAGAGAACTGCTGAATTAAGAAATAGTGAGGGGGAGTAGCTCTTGAAGTGATATGAAGATTTTAAACTTCAATTCATTTAGAAAAACCTGTTAAATTGAACCATATGAACTTGCCATTTCTGTGGGTCAAAAATGGCTGAATATCAACAATTTGATATGGCTCCATTTAATCTATCTTTCTAACCTGTTGAAATAGTATAAAGAAAGCTAATAACGTGTGTTAAGTTTCTTAAACATTTTTATGTATTATTTTCTATTTATACTTACTGCGGTATACTTGCAGCTGTATTTTCCTCCCCAACTTAAAGATATGGAGAGTCAGATCCAGGGATGTTAAGTGCTTTGCACAAGCCAGTTAGTTACAGATTTAAATCCCTTAGCCCCTGATTTTCTGTCTTTCTTTTTTTTTTTTTAGTAGAGACAAGGTTTCACCATGTTAGCCAGGATGGTCTCCATCTCCTGACCTCGTGATCCGCCCACCTCCGCCTCCCAAAGTGCTGGGATTACAGGCGTGAGCCACTGTGCCCAGCCAGTCCCTGATTTTCTATTCATTCTTCTCTCCATTGCACTAAATGCTCTTATTTACTACTAGTAAATATTATAGAACTTGTCAGCTTACCTAATATTTTGCTTAGCATTTGGTTTTTAAATTAATGTATATATGGTTTTAGAATTATGAAATTAGTAAATTAATGAACTCTATGCCACCAGATTAAATAAGAAAAATCATACCACCCTATTAGATACAGAAAAGCATTTGATAAAAATTCAGCCTATTTACTATCAAAACTATTGGCAAACTAAGCATAGATACAAACTCCCTTAACTTAATTGTTTTTTTTTTTTTTTTGAGATGGAGTCTTGCTGTGTCGCCCAAACTGGAGTGCAGTGGCATGATCCTGGCTCACTGCAAGCTCCGCCTCCCGGGTTCATGCCGTTGTCATGCCTTAGCCTCCTGAGTAGCTGGGACTACAGGCGCCCACCACCACACCTGGCTAATTTCTTTTTATATTTTTTGTAGAGACAGGGTTTCACCGTGTTAGCCAGGATGGTCTCAATTTCCTGACCTTGTGATTCGCCTGCCTTGGCCTCCCAAAGTGCTAGGATTACAGGCGTGAGCCACCGCGCCCAGCGTTTTTTGTTTTTTTGTTTTTTTTTTTAATTTTTTTTTTTTTTTTTTTTTGAGACGGAGTCTCACTCTGTCACCCAAGATGGAGTGCAGTGGCACTGTCTCGGTGTCTCGGCTCACTGCAAGCTCCGCCTCCCAGGTTCACCTCATTCTCCTGCCTCAGCCTCCTCAGTAGCTGGGACTACAGGCACCTGCCACCACACCTAGCTAATTTTTTTTTTTTTTTTTTTTTTTTTGTATTTTTAGTAGAGACGAGGTTTCACCGTGTTAGCCAGGTTGGTCTTGATCTCCTGACCTTGTGATCCACCTGCCTCAGCCTCCCAAAGTGCTGGGATTACAGGCGTGAGCCATCGCGCCTGGCCTAAACTCCCTTAACTGAAAAGGGGTATCTAGAAAAATCCTTTTAGCCAACATCATACTTACTAGTGAAACACTGTGAGCATTCTCTTTAGATTTGGAGAAAGACAAGCCTGCTACCAAGTTGATCTTTAAATATAGTGCAATCTCAGTAAAAATCCCAGCCGTTTTTTTTTTTTTTGTATGTGTGTGTGGATTATGACATGCTGATTGTAAATATTTATATAGAAATTAGAGGGTCTGCTGGGCGTGGTGGCTCACACCTGTAATCCCAGCACTTTGGGAGGCTGAGGCAGGCAGATAACTTGAGGTCAGGATTTGAGACCAGCATGAACAACATAATGAAACCTCGTCTGTACTGAAAATACAAAAATTAGCTGGGCATGGTGGCACTTGCTTGTAATCCCAGCTACTCGGAAGGCTGAGGCAGGAGGATCACTTGAACTCAGAAGGTGGGGGTTGCAGTGAGCCAAGATCAAGCCACTGAACTCCATCCAGCCTGGGAGACAGAGTGAGACTCCATCTCAAAAAAAACAACAACAAAAATAAATTAGAGGGTCAAGAAGAGCCCTGAAAAAGAACTTGCCCTGCCAGATATCAAAACTTATTCTAAAGCTGTAGCAGTTAAGATAGTGAGAGTATTGGTGCTGGGGTAGAGATCAGAAGTGTGAGCATAGAAACAGACCTATACCTGTATGATCATTTTACATATGACAGAGGAGGTCCTGCACAAGAGTGGGGAAAGAACCATCTTTTTGATAATGGGGCTGGAATAACTGAATAGCTATATGGGGAAAAAATATAATTAGATTCCCCTCCCTACCGTATATTGTACATTAAATCAGTTCTGGGTAGATATTAACACCTAAATGTCAAATGTGAAAGTATAAAATTTGGAAAATGCTATAAGAGAATACCTTCACAACCTTGGGAGTAGTAGGATATATGCTTTCTAAAAGGCCTAAAGGGGCAAAGATCTGTCACTGAGACCAAGAGAGCTGCCTGACAGGAGTTGTGATCCTTAGTGTAGGGTGTCAGCCAAGCTGTAGTCACCCAGCACAGAGAGAGCCAGGGTATTTCCTCTTATCTCCTGATGGAGCCCTCCCATTGGGTGAACTAAAACAGAAGTCTGAGGACACTGGAGTCTTGTAGTAGAACCCATAGAGGTGAGCCTCCAGGAACACAGAGTAGGGTGATGCAGAGTAGAGCTTGGATCTGAGGAGAAGGATACCAGCACATAGCTTCTCACAAAAGAGGAAGCACAAATGGCTAGTAAACAGGAAAAGATGCTCTTCCTCATTTGTAGGTAAGGAAATGCAAATTTATTTTACCCGAAATTTAGGAACAACTAAAATGGACCTCAGTGTTTCACTAGTAAGTATGATGCTGGCTAGAAAGATTTTTCTAGATATGCCTTTTAAGTTAAGGGAGTTTGCATCTATGTTTAGTTTGCCAATAGTTTTTATCATAAATATGGCTAAATTTTCTCAATGGTAGAGTGGATAAATATGGTATATTCATACAATGGAATACTGTATAATAATGAAAAATAACAAACTATACCCAGAGGTATCAACATGGCTAAATCACACAATGTTGGGTAGAAGAAATAAGGTAGAGAACAATATATCCAGAATGTTCCACATAATACAAAGTTCAAAATACGCAAAATCTTAAATTATTTGGGATTACATATAGGTGTAATAAAACTGTGAATAAAAGTAAAAGGGCCACAGTGGCTCACACCTGTAATCCCAACACTTTGGGAGGCCTATGCAGGAGGATTGCTTGAGTCCAGGAGTTCAAGACCAGCCAGGACAACATAGACCTCGTCCCTACAAAAAAATTTAAAAACTGAGTGTGGTGGCACATACCTGTCATCCCAGATACTCAGAAGGCTGAGGTAGGAGGATCAGTTGAGCCCAAGAGGCGGAGCTTGCAGTGAGCTGAGATGGCACCACTGCATTCTAGCCTGGGTGACAGAGCAAAACCCTGCCCCCCAAAAAAAAACTACTAAAAAATACAAAAAACTAGCTGGGCAAGGTGGCGGGCGCCTGTAGTCCCAGCTACTCGGGAGGCTGAGGCAGGAGAATGGCGTAAACTGGAGAGGCGGAGCTTGCAGTGAGCTGAGATCCGGCCACTGCACTCCAGCCTGGGCGACAGAGAGAGACTCTGTCTCAAAAAAACAAACAAACAAACAAAAAACTACTAAAAAAATTAAAAAAAAAAAAAGTATGGGAATGACTATCATAAAAGTCAGGATAGTGGCTACCTCTGGAGGTAGCAAAGGGCATGCAGTGGGGGAGGAATACACCAAGGGCTTATAATGTTCTATAATTAGGTTAGTGGTTCCATGATGTTTCTATAAACTCCATATACAGGTGTATGTTTTCTTTACTCCTTTGGTATATATGATGTAACAGTAACTTTGTAAAAAGTAATATTTACATGCAGATTTCTATTCTTGTTCAGTAGTTGGTCTATTTAAATTATTCTGATGTAGCATGATGATTTTGTTTGAATATTTTGGTGAATTTCTCAGTGCTTAGAGTATCCAGCTTCAAGGGTTAACCACTGTTGCTATACTGGGTAATGGTTCCTGTCAAAAACCAAAAAATGGAAGTAGCTTGATTTAGATTTTTAAAATAATAAAGATAATTTGAGTCTGTCATTACTACTTTTAAATACTACAGTGGTGCAGAAAATTTTATTAGAAATCCGCAAAATATGTGTCAGAGAACATATAGAGTAAGAAGTGGCAGCATTAATTTGTCAATGCTTATTTTTAAGTAATTGAGACTTAAACTGTGGACGTGATTTGGTCTACTCTGAACATAGCGACTTTTTAACTTGCCATCCTGTAAATCTGTCCATAGGAATGGGATTTTTCTGGCATCTGAACTGGAAGACTTTGAATGCTTCCTCCTAAGACTGAGCCGTATTGGAGGTGTAATACAGGATACCCTCCCTGTTCAAAACTACAAGACCAAAGAAGGTTGGGATTTCCATTCTCAATTCATTCTCTATTGTTTGGAGCACAGTCTGCAGCATCTTCTTTATGTCTACCTTGACTGTTACAAGTGAGTACTGAGAATGCATTTGTCCTTGATCAGGTCTTCACATTTTCTCTTTGCATATGACTCCTGAACGTGACTTTTAGGAAAATAGTAAGCATTCACACGAGGAATACTGATCTTTTTGAAGTAGTTTTCTCCATCTCAACAACTGATACATCTTTGAGTTCAGTATTACATTCAGCAAAATGCTTATGTGTTTTTTTGGTGATATTAATTCTGTAGTATCTCTGTTAACCTTTTAAATAATTTGACTTTAGAATACAATGAAAGAAATGCTTTAAAAGGTTTGAGAGGAAGATTCTAAAGTTTCACTTGGAGTTTACTTTGATACTTTGTTTACCAAGAGAATGCTAAATGACTTTGATTTCATAGCAAGGTGTATTTCACTTCAAGGTATATTAAATATGCTCTAAAATTTATATTTATATAGACACACACAGAGAAAGAAAGAGCAATACATCAATATATGTCTACCTAAGATTAACCTGCAGAATCATATCTGTGCCCAGTGTTAATTGCTATTGGGTCAGTAATAACAATAACAATAGAAGTAGTCTTTAATATATGAGTGTTTACAATGTTATCACTAAACTAAGTAGTTTATAAGGATTATCTCATTTAATCTTCACAAAAACTCTATGGGGTAGTTACTCGCATCTCCATTTTACAGATGAAGAAACAGGCTTTGAGAGAGACTAAGTATCTTACTTAAGGCACACAGCTAATAAGTGGAAGAGCTGATTTAATTCTACTTAATTTTTATTCCAGAGCCCACATTTGTACACTCATAGGCAGCATTTTTATTTTACTTATTTTGTGTAGTAAAGACTAGAAATTGGCCGGGCACAGTGGCTCACATCTATAATCCCAGCACTTTGGGAGGCCCAGGCAGGAGAATCACTTTAGCCCAAAGGTTCAAGACCAGCCTGGGCAATGTAGTGGGTCTTCTTCTTTACAAAGAAGTGAAAAATCAGCCAGGCATAGTGGCACACACCTGTAGTCCCAGCTACCTGGGAAGCTAGAGGCGGGAGGATTGCTTGAGCCTAGGAGGTCCGGGCTGCAGTGAGCCATGTTTGCGCCACTGCACTCCAGCCTGGACAATACAGTGAGACCTGGTCTCAAAAAAAGAAAAAAAAACAGACTAGGAGTTTTTGATGTGTCATATCATTAGTCTTACTTAGAAATGTTGTCTCCAAAGCTACTGGCAAGAGAACAGATTTAAGAGCTGTATTTTCAAAGTATGTATTCTGAGCCATAATTCCTCAGTTGTAACCTCTCTGTAGTTGTGTAAGCTTTTTATTTGTATTTTATTTTGAGACAGTCTCACTCTGTCACTCAGACTGGAGTGCAGTGGCACAATCATGGCTCATTGCAGCCTCAAACTCCTGGGCTCAAGCAATTCCCCCACCTCAGCCTCCCAAGTAACTGGAACTATAGGCGCACACCAGCACACTTGGCTTGTAAGAGTTTTTAAAAAGCCTCTTATTAAGTTTGAATATGCTAAAAAGTCTTTGCTGTAAAAACCAATAAAATATGAAGTATCTTAAAGTACAAGGTATCTATTAATCTGACAAAGAGTTGGTTAAATTTCCTCATGGTAGTGAACATATGATGTCTCTAAAATCTCTGTCTCTGAAATTGTCTGTTTCCAGATCATGAAGAATATGTAAAATACGACACAAGAGTGGGAGTATTTTGTGTTATATTTACTTTTTAATTCCAAGATTCTTTTTTTAAATGCTAATCATCACCTGAGCAAACATGGTTGTAATTGTCTTATCCTGTATGTTAACCAAAGAAGTTTTTTGTTTGTTTTATATACAGACTTAGTCCTGAAAATTGTCCCTTTTTGGAAAAAAAAGAGTTACATGAAGCACACCCTTGGTTTGAATTTTTAGTTCAGTGTCGACAAGTTGCCAGTAATTTAACAGGTATGGGTATACTGTATTAAACACAGAAACTTTCTTTGGATCAATCACTGGTCTGTTGAATGGTATTAAACTTGTGAACTCTTTTAAATAAATTATTTGGCTGTGGTCAACTATCTGAATGTAATCTAGGCTCACACTTTAGGTAAGAAGTAGAAGGCCAAAAAGGTTAGCTGCCAGCCAGCCAAGAAAAGCTAGACCTGGAGCAAAGACTTTACGTGGTTTTGTCCCCTTCCCCTTAGCATCGTGCTCTAGGATTTCCCTTGTCCCACCAGTTTGTCAGAGGCTGAATTCCTGCTCTCTGGTCGACTGGCACCCTTTTTCCATGAAGAAGTGGTCTGTCTTCCAGATCCCTGTTTTGAATATTTTAGTAAGGAACTCCAAATGGAGTTAAAAGAAATCCATAGTATGTGTGAGATTGTTGTGTCCTCTGCAGTGGAGCTGCTGATGTAGAGGCTTACTCTGGTTGTAATCAGACAGAAAAGCCTTGTTACCCCTGAGGACTTAGCTGGTGTTATCCCAGAAACAGGGAAAAGGGGACAGGCTGAATGACCACAGACAAGGAATGTCAGCAGTCTTTCAGTTACATATAATGTCCAGTTTCTCTCGAAATGCAGAATTTTTTCATAATGTAGGTTTTGTTTTCTGGTTTTGCATGCTGATTATGAAGTAATATATGTTCATTGCTTAAAAAAAAAATTAGAAAGCACAGACAGCTATCAAGAAGGTAATACTGGCCAGGTGTGATGGCTCACACCTGTAATCCCAGTGCTTTGGGAAGGAAAGTGGAAGGTTCACTTGAGGATAGGAGTTCAAGACCAGCCTGGGCAACATAGTAAGACCCTGTCTCTACAAAAGATTTTTAAAAATTAGGTGTGGTGGCATGCTCCTGTAATCCCAGCAATGTGGGAGGCTGAGATGGGAGGATCACTTGAGCCCTGGGGTTAGAGGATGCAGTGAGCCATGATTGTGTCACTGTACTCCAGCCTGGTTGACAGAGCAAGACCCTGTCTCTCTTTAAAAAATAAATTAATTAATTAATTAAAAAGTAATACCTCCATGGGTAGCCTTGGTACATAGGAAAATAACCACCCGTAGGTAACCACTGATAATATTTTAATGTATTTTGTTCCAGTTATTTTCACTGTACTTTTTAAAAACCTAGTCTCTATTGTATTTCATTCACCTAACAAATATTTATTGAGCTCCTACCTTGTGACAGAATATTGTACAACAAGAAACATCTGTGTTTTTATATACTGCTTTTTTGTGTAATATTATAACAGAATTTTCCCACATTCTTAAAGACAATGACCATTTTAAATGTTTACATAATATTTCATTGTATGGATATACCCTTATTTAATTTACTGTTCTCTCATTTTCTGACGAGGCCATTTTCCATTTATTATAAATAATAGTCTTGAACATATTTCAATATAAAGTTTTGTCCTTATTTCAGATTATTTTCTTAGTACAGGTAGGTTTTGGGATATAAAACTATTGGGTCAAAGGTTATACATGTTTTTAAGGTTCTTGCTGTAGGACCGGATTGCTTTCCAAGGGAGTTGTACAGTTTTATGATTTTATTGTAAGTCCCAGTCTCTACTCACTGTGACCAGCTCTAATGCTTGATGATTTTTTTAAAATTATTGCTAATTTGATAGGTAGTATATGGCATCTAATTAATTTGCATTTCTTTGTTGCTAGTGAATTATGTACTTTTATGTGTCAGGCATTTATATTTCCTCCTTCATAAATTCGTTATTTCTTTTGCCCATTTACCTGTTAGAGTCAGTATTTTTGGCATTGATTTGGATGAGCTCTTTGTTGAGGACAAACTCAGCAACTCTTTAGGTTGTCATTTGTTATAATTTTTCTCTCAGTTCATTGTTACCTTTTTTTTTTTTTTTTTTTTTTTTTTTTTTGAGACGGAGTCTCACTCTGTCGGCCAGGCTGGAGTGCAGTGGCCGGATCTCAGCTCACTGCAAGCTCCGCCTCCCAGGTTTACGCCATTCTCCTGCCTCAGCCTCCCAAGTAGCTGGGACTACAGGCGTCCACCACTTCGCCCGGCTAGTTTTTTGTATTTTTAGTAGAGACGGGGTTTCACCGTATTAGCCAGGATGGTCTCGATCTCCTGACCTCATGATCCGCCCGTCCCGGCCTCGCAAAGTGCTGGGATTACAGGCTTGAGCCACCACGCCTGGCCCATTGTTACCTTTTAATTGTCTTTGAATAGAAGTTTTTATTTTTGTGTAGACAAATCTTTCATTTTTCCCCTCTGTGATGTTTTCCCATTGCTTTTACACTTAGGAAGTCCTTTTTTTTTTTTTTTTTCACTGTAGATAGAGTTAAAAATTTATATTATTTTTCTCACATTTATGTAATTCTTAATTTAGTATTTATCCCTCTGTCTTTTATTTTCCAGATCCCAAACTGATCTTCCAGGCTAGCCTCGCAAATGCTCAGATTTTGATTCCCACCAATCAGGCCAGTGTAAGCAGTATGCTATTGGAAGGACATACCCTCCTGGCCCTTGCTACTACAATGTATTCTCCTGGGGGTGTCAGCCAGGTATGGATAGCACTTTACAACAAAATGGGACTGATTTTTAAATTTAGCAGAATTATCTATGGATTGTCTAGATCTCAGTTGATATTAAAATATAACTATATTCAAGTATTTCATTAGATTAAAGAGCAGAGGACAAGGCTGAATTTTAAGATTTTATATCTCAGCCCGGTGCAGTGTCTCACTCCTGTAATCCCAGCATTTTGGGAGGTCGAGGCAAGCAGATCACTTGAGGTCAGGAGTTTGAGACCAGCCTGGTTAACATGGTGAAACACTGTCTCTACTAAAAATAGAAAAAACTTAGCTGGGCATCTTGGCACATGCCTGTAATCCCAGCTACTTGGGAGGCTGAAGCATGAGAATCACTTGAACCTGAGAAGCGGAGGTTGCAGTGAGCCAGGACTGCGCCACTGCATTCCAGCCTGGGCAACAGAGCGGGACTCTGTCTCAAAAAAAAAAAAAAGGAAAAATTTTTGATATCTACAATTTAAAGGGAATGAAGCCAGGCGCATTGGCTCATTTTTGTAATCCCAGCCCTTTGGAAGGCCAGGGTAGATGGATCACTTGCATACAAGAGTTTGAGACCAGCAACATGACGAAACCTCCGTCTCTACAAAAAAAATTTGTTTTAATTAACTGGGCATGACCGGGCGCGGTGGCTCACGCCTGTAATCCCAGCACTTTGGGAGGCCGAGGCGGGTGGATCACTTGAGGTCGGGAGTTCAAGACCAGCCTGGCCAACGTGCTGAAATGCCATCTCTACTAAAAATACAAAAATTACACTGCACTTCAGCCTGGGTGACAAAGTGAGACCCTGTCTCAAAAAAAAAAAAAAAGCTGGGTGGGGGTGGGGAGGGGAATGAATATGTTATGTAGAGATTCTTTTTTCCCTTTAGTTTGTTTTCCAATACTCCAGATTTGTTTTCAGAATACAATTAGGATCTGCTTGCTTCAGGGAGTAAGAATACTTTAGATCTGTGGCTTGGTAATTATTCTGTACTATTTGCCCTCTTAGGTCAAAGGAAACCATAATCTTCAGCTACCCATATAAACTTTATTGAGGGACCTAATGGAAATGTGCCCATCTTTGCTTTTTAGAAGTAGAGTGGCCTGTTTAGAGGGAAATTAAGAATGTTGTTTAATATCGAATCTTCAAAAGTTTCTTACTGGTGCTAGCTTAACTTAATACCACCTTTTTTAGATTGTGGCAGTATACCTTACACGACTATTTAATTGTCTATTTTTAATCACCTGTCAGAAATTAGAGTCATAGGATAACTTTAGAGTTGAGTGAGAAGTCATCTAGTAGTTTGTAAATATTTTAAAATATATATTATTGAATTAAATATTGGCAGAGCTGTTTTTCAAACAATTTCTATACAACTTGAAAACCACTGATCTAGCTGAACTTCCTAATTTTGCAGCTGGGGAAACAAAGACCTGATATTAAATATCTAGCTAAGGTCACATAGCCAGTTTGTTTCAGAACCAGAACAAGAACTGTTAACTTATGACTACTTGTCTAATGCCATATTCACTACCACATACTCTTCTCAAGCTAATCTTGTTTCACAGGGTTCTTGTGAAAAAAAGACTTAAACTTTGAGAAGAGAAAAATGCTGCTCTCCAACCTGTTATCTGTCTTTTTACTTAGGTTGTTCAGAATGAAGAAAATGAAAACTGTTTGAAGAAAGTGGATCCCCAGCTTTTGAAGATGGCATTAACTCCTTACCCCAAGCTAAAAACTGCTCTCTTCCCACAGTGCACTCCTCCTAGTGTCCTGCCATCTGATATTACACTCTACCACCTTATTCAGGTACAGTATTTAGGTGGTCAATATTTAGGTCTGATAGACCTAAATATTCAGCCAGGAAAACAGAAATCACTCTAGATCTTTCAACTGGAGGGCATTTAACGTAGGGAATTACTTATACAGCATCATAGCAGAATGGAGAAACCAAACGCGATAGTGAGACAACCCCAGATAACAAAACAGGAAGCCATGTTCTTGCACCCCTAAGGCTGCAAGAACAATGCAAAAAAGTGGTGTTACCAGAACCCAGAAGCTGGAGCCATTTCTGGGAATTAAACTAACAACCAGACTGCCTAATGGGAAGTGGGAACATAGAGTATGGAGGTAGATGCCCCAGGAAAATGCAGGGGGGGAATATCTTGACTTCTCTCTTCCCATCTTTAGTCTCCCACAGTGTCTTTGTGGCTATATTTATCTGGTAGCCAAAGGGCAAAGGAGCTTGGGAAATGTAGTTTCCTGCAATGCTGAGCAGAGTGGGAAGGGTGGAGGTGGGTCAGAGCAAACAGTTGACCAACATACCTGTCTGCTGCTTTCATCAAAAGCATTCTATTCTGCCACTTGTAACTTCTGACTATCTCTTCTCAATGAATCAGGGATGTTTGTTTAAATCAATGCTTTTTAATCTTTTTCAGAACCTCTAAGAATGTAAGAAAGCTACAAACCCTCTACCCAGAAAAATTACACATATGCATATAATTTTGCTTACATTTCAAAGTGATTCACAGACTCCCTGAAGCCTAGTCAGGGACCCTCGGTTAAGAACACCTTCCTTTGCCTATTTCTCATTTCAAAAGGCTTTTCCTTTTTTCCCTGAATACACATATTCTCCTAGTATCTATAAGGTTTATAGCATAAGGTTTATAATTCTATAAAGGAGCCGGGTGTGGTGGCTCATGTCTGTAGTCCCAACACTTTGGGAGGCCAAGTTGGGTGGATCACCTGAGGTCAGGAGTTCGAGAGCAGCCTAGCCAACATAGTGAAACCCCATCTCTACTAAAAATACAACAATTAGGCAGGCATGGTGGCACGTGCCTATAGTCCCAGCTACTCGGGAGGCTGAGGCAGGAGAATTGGTAGAACCCAGGAGGCGGAGGTTGCAGTGAGCTGAGGTTGCACCATTGTACTCTGGCTGTGTTCAAAGAATTTATGTCCAGAACGATAAGCTTTAAATTGCCTTGGAAAAGGGGAAGCAGACTACCTCTGAAGTCCTTTCATATAATTTTGTTTACCTATTTTAGAATCAATGAATTTCTAATTCTGTTTAACTTTTCCCCTTTTTCAGTCATTATCACCCTTTGATCCTAGCAGATTGTTTGGCTGGCAGTCTGCTAACACACTAGCTATAGGAGGTAAGTCATCATGGGTACTTCTTGAGATATGTTTTAGCAATGTTAACTATAGAAGTTAATATATGTAAAGCCAATCTAGTTTTCTCATTGCTTTTTATTTTAAAAGTAAAGGTGTATTCCAAAGGAAAAATAGTTCGCAGAAGACAGAATTGAAAACATATTGTGAGTTAAAAGTCAATGTATTAGGTTACTAGTGCTGTACTTGCTGAAAAAGGTAATGTGTAACTATTTGATTATATTTCTTCCTTTCAAAAAATTATTCTTCATTTCCAGTATAGTATCATAAAAATTAAAAGCATAGGCGTCAGCATTAAACAAATCTTGGCCCTACCATGTAATTAATACCTGTGTGACCTTGGTCATGTGATCTAACCTCTTTAGTTCTCTCTGAAATGAGGTTAATCACAGTGACCACCTAACACATTACTATGAGAATAAAAGGAGGCAAGGCATTTAAGTACCAGATTCACACACACTGCTGTCGTATAAATACCATAAGACTTTCTCTGATTTATTTTTTTCTGTTCTTAAACTGTTTTTTCTATTTCTCTTTTATCTTTAATATCATGTTATCTGTGGTGCCTCTGCCTATATTACCCTAAATTAGGCTTTGCATTAGTACTTTGTACATAGTATGTACCCAATAAATATCTGTTGACATAAATAAAAATGAATTTCTTAATGTATATGTTTTATAAGTTCAAATTTTGATATATAGAATTTACCTCGTGCCCAGAGTCCAGTGTATGCCAAGCCTACAGTAGATGTTCAGTAAATGTTTGTTGAGTGCTGAAAAAAGTAGTGCTTATTGCATTTATCGAACAGAAATACCCTTTCTCGGCCGGGCTTGGTGGCTCAAGCCTGTAATCCCAGCACTTTGGGAGGCCGAGACGGGCGGATCACGAGGTCAGGAGATCGAGACCATCCTGGCTAACACGGTGAAACCCCGTCTCTACTAAAAATACAAAAAAAAACTAGCCGGGCTCGGTGGCGGGCACCTGTAGTCCCAGCTACTCGAGAGGCTGAGGCAGGAGAATGGCTTAAACCCGGGAGGCGGAGCTTGCAGTGAGCTGAAATCCGGCCACTGCACTCCAGCCTGGGTGACAGAGCGAGACTCCGTCTCAAAAAAAAAAAAAAAAAAAAAAAACCCTTTCTCAGTGAAGTTACTAGAGAGTAGACAAAATCCCCTCTCCTGTTGTGATGGCTCCAACTCCATCACTTAGGTGACATCTTGACCTGGCATTCTAACTCTTGGAAATTGAGCACTCTACCAGGTAGAGTAGAGGCACAGAGAAGTTGAAAGCATGTTCCCTGCCATTTTTAGAAGTTTAAAACATACTTGAGGAAATCACAAAGTAAATGAAACTGTTATCTTGAAAATATAATACTTTTTTTTTTTTTGAGATGGAGTCTCGTTCCACTCAGACTGGAGTGCCGTGGCGCAATCTCAGCTCACTGCAAGCTGTGCTTCCCGGGTTCATGCCATTCTCCTGCCTCAGCCTCCTGAATAACTGGGATTACAGGCACCTGCCACCACGCCCAGCTAATTTTTTTGTATTTTTAGTAGAGATGGGGTTTCACCGTGTTAGCCAGGATGGTCTCGATCTGCCGACTTTCTGGCTGATACACGAGCCCGGCCCTTTTTTTTGGGGCCTCTCCAAAGTGCTTGGCGGATCTACCAGGCCGTGGTAGCCACCCTGCCGCCCCAGAGCCAATACATAGTTTTATAAATTTGTAGAAAACCTGTTAAGTTTGATTCCTGATCGTTCCCCGTCTGGTCCAATGCTGGATTACAGGCTGAGCCACCGCCCGGCTTCTTATGGTTTTACCACTGAATGTGGATGTAGTAACACTGGGTGGTGACTTGGCTTCTGCACCAGGCCAGAGTAAAATTTCCCTTTAGATTGAATTTTCTCTTATACACAATCTCCATACTAAGCCCCAACCTGCTAAAAAATTATGGTCTTATCTGAATAGAAAACTCAAATGTGCTCATTTCAGTACTGTGTGCCTTACACACACTCAGCAAATATTTAATGAATGGCTTTATATGTAATTACAAGTTGCCAAAGTCGCTCTGTTCTCACAAGAATGCAAATAGGGCATGTGACAGTTTTTTTAATCTCAAAGAGGGAATGTACTTTCAGGTAAGACCTTTGTAAGATGACAGATACCTCGAGGGTCTTCAAGCCTTTTTTTTTTTAGGAATCAGGTCACAATGTGGAAAGTCCTTGGAATTCCATGAGAAAATACAACTTTATTTCAGAAATAAGCTTTGAACTTTGAAAACAAGAGCAGATACACTGTTTTCCAGAACTAGTTTCTGGAACCAGATCACTGTGTTGTCTTTTTTTAAAAATAGGAAGTAAGTGGTTAAGAGACAATTGAATAGTACATGACAGGAGTGATTCTTTCTTTCTAACTGGAGTCAGCCCTCCAGATCCTTGGGTTCCATATCCAAGGATTCAGCTAACCTCAGATGGGAAATATTTGAGAGAACAAACAAACAATTAAAAAAAAAAGAACAGGGCCGGGCGCGGTGGCTCAAGCCTGTAATCCCAGCACTTTGGGAGGCCGAAACGGGCGGATCACAAGGTCAGGAGATCGAGAACCCACGGTGAAACCCCGTCTCTACTAAAAAACAAAAAATTAGCCGGGCGAGTTGTGGGCGCCTGTAGTCCCAGCTACTCGGGAGGCTGAGGCAGGAGAATGGCGTGAACCCGGAGGCGGAGCTTGCAGTGAGCTGAGATCCGGCCACTGCACTCCAGCCTGGGCAACAAGCGAGACTCCGTCTCAAAAAAAAAAAAAAAAAAAAAAAAAAAAAAAAAAACCAATTTAAAAATACAGTATAACAACTATTTACATAGCATTTACATTTATTAGGTATTATAAATGATCTAGAGTAATTTAAAGTGTATGGGGAAATGTGCATAGGCTATATATAAATACTATGCTATTTTACAGGGACTTGAGCATCCTTCTGTGGATTTTGGTATCCAAGAGTTTCAGGAACCAATCCCATGGATACCAAGAGATGACTAGACTCACATCAAAATATCTTCTGACTTCAGATTTATCTAAAAAGAGACATTTTTGTTCTGATATTTTCTTGGGTTTAGAGGAACTTTAATCTGAGCTATTCTGTTGGTCTTATTAATAGAAAGATGGTACCATCTTTCTAAGATATTCATGCTCTATGAATACAACATCAGAAAGTAGGTGATAACAAATGGAGGTTATAGAAGGGTAATTAGTGTCGAGGGAAAAACGTTCTAAAATTACCTGTTGGAGGCCAGGTGTAGCGGCTCATGCCTGTAATCCTAACACTTAGGAAGCTGAGGTGGAAGGATTGCTTGAGGCCAGGAATTCAAGACCAGCTTGGACAATATAGCAAGACACTGTCTCTACAAAAAATTAGCCAGGTATAGAAGATAAGGGTCAAGAAGGTGAAAGAAAAATTTAAAAATTAGCCAGGCATGGTTGTGTGTGCCTACAGTCCTACAGGAGGCTGAGGCAAGAGGATTGCTTGAGTTAAGGAAGTCAAGGCTGCAGTGAATTTTGGTCATGCCACTGCACTCCAGCCTGGGCAACAGAGCAAGACCCTGTGTCCAAAAAAAAAAAAAATTACCTGTTAGAGAAAGGTGCAGTGAATTGGCTTTGGTGAACAGAGGACTCATATAAATATGTTAAAAGGGATTTTATTGCATAATGACCTTTGTGAATGAATTTTAAAAGCTCCTTTTGCATATATTTAACAGATTTTATAATGATAGGGTTATTGGCTATTGCCTTTCTGAACTTAAAGGATCATCAAATACAGAATTAAAACCAGGGTGGTTCAACATACACAAATTAATAAATTATACACCACATTAACAGAATGCAAGACAAAAACCAGGCCAAGCGCAATGGCTCACGCCTGTAATCCCAACACTTTGGGAGGCCGAGGCGAGTGGATCATGAGGTCAGGAGATCGAGACCATCCCGGCTAAAACTGTGGGAAACCCTGTCTCTACTAAAAAGTACAAAAAATATTAGCTGGGCATGGTGGCGGATGCCTGTAGTCCCAGCTACTTGGGAGGCTGAGGCAGGAGAATGGCATGAACCTGGGAGGTGGAACTTGCAGTGAGCCAAGATCATGCCACTGCACTCCAGCCGTGAGTGGCGACAGAGCGAGACTCCATCTCAAAAAAAAAAAAAAGAAAAGACAAAAACCATATGATCATATCAATAGATACAGAAAAGGCATTTTGCAAAATTCAACATCCTTTCATAATAAAAACTCTCAACAAATTAGGCATAGAAGGAATGCATCTCAACATTATAAAGGCCATATATGACAGGCTCACAGCTATTATCATACTCAGCAGTGAAAAGTTGAAAGCTTTTCCTCTAAGATCAGAAACAAGACAGGGATGCCCACCCTTGCCACTTCTGTTCAACATAGTACTTGAAGTCCTAACCAGAACATTTAAGCAAAAAAAAAAATGAAAGGCATCCAAATCAGAAAGGAAGAAGTGAAGTTTTCATTGTTTGCAGATGGCATGATTTTGCATATAGAAAATCCTAAAGACTCTACCAGTAAAACTGTTAGAACTAATAAACAAATTCAGGAAAGTTGTAGGATATTAAATCAACATACAAAAATCAGTAGTGTTCTATATATCAATAGCAAACTATCTGTAAAAGATAATGAACAAAACTATCCCATTTCCGTTTTTTAATAGAACACAAAATACTTAGGAATAAATTTAATCAAAAAGGTCAAAGATCTGTACATGTTAAACCATCAAACATTGGTGAAAGAGGCTAGGTGGGCTGGGTGCGGTGGCTGGCCGGACATGGTGGCTCACGCTCATGCCTGTAATCCCAGCACTTTGGGAGACCGAGGTGGGCAGATCACCTGAGGTCAGGAGTTCGAGACCAGTCTGGCCAATATGGCGAAACCCCGTCTCTACTATAAGTACAAAAATTAGGTGTGGTGGCACATGCCTGTAAGTCCCAGCTACTCAGGACGCTAAGGCAGGAGAATCGCTTGAACCCAGGAGGCAGAGGTTGCAGTGAGCCAAGATTGTGCCATGGCAGTCCAGCCTGGATAGCAGAGCAAGACTCTATCTTAAAAAAAAAAAAAGAAAAGAAGAGGCTGGGTGCACACATGTAATCCCAGCACTCTGGGAGGCCAAGGCAGGCAGATTGCTTGAGCTCAGGATTTTGAGACCTCATCTCTACCAAAAATACTAAAGAAAGCCGGGTGTGGTGGAGTGCACCTGTGGTCCCAGCTACTTGGGAGGCTGAAGTGGGAGGATCACCTGAGCCCAGGAGGCAGAGGTTGCAGTGAGCCAAGATTGTGCCACTGCACTCCAGTCTAGGCGACAGAGCCAGACCCTGTCCCAAAAAAAAGACCCAAAAAAAACCATTTATGTTGTATACTTTAAATATATACAATTCTTAAAAGTTAAATAAGTTGCTCAAGGTCACGCAACTAGTGGTATCAAAACCAGGAATCACACACTTTTTTTTTTTTTTTTGGAGACGGAGTTTTACTCTTGTTGCCCAGGCTGGAGTGCAATGGCGCGATCTTGGCTGACTGCAACCTCTACCTCCCAGATTCAAGTGCTTCTCCTGCCTCAGTCTCCTGAGTAGCTGGGACTACAGGCATGCACCACCATGTCTGGCTAATTTTGTATTTTTAGTAGTGATGGGGTTTCTCCACGTTGGTCAGGCTGATACCGAACTCCCGACCTCAGTTGATCCACCCATCTCAGCCTCCCAAAGTGCTGGGATTACAGGAGTGAGCCACCACGCTCGGCCTCAAACACATTTATGAGTCTAAAGCCCTATTACCTCTGAGATACTAGACCTGCCAGACTAGAGCTTCCTTCCACCCCTGTAAACAATATCCTTAAATGAAATCAGTTGGGACAGCTTCTAAAGTTATTTTTTTATATCAGTTTTACACATTCAACCAGAATGGCTTTAGCTCTCTGACAGTTGTCCCAAAATGAGCATGCACATTGCCCTCTAAGGAGTCACTTCTGGGTCTGCTTTCTTATGTCCCCAGCACGTGTTCCTCCATTGGTTTAGGGATGTGTTACAGATACTGGGATATAGATATAGGGATGTTATAGATACTGGGAATTCCCCCCGCAGTTATATATTAGTATCTATAATAACAGATGTAATGAGCTGTGGCCAGGAAGACCCAAACGGAGAGAAGACATCCCTCTCCACCCCCAAGTAATCACTGAGCCTTGCTCCACTGGCAGCCAGACCCTCCCAGGTCTCTGCCAAAGCTGTAGTTCAATGACCGCAGCCCTCACAGGAGGAAGATTCCATTAACAAAATGTCATGGAGCATTCCCGCTGGCACAGCCTTCCAAGATCATCTAGCCCAATTTGCTTATTTTACTTAGGAGATCATAAAAGCCCAGAGAAGAGAGAAGATTTCAAAGTACTCAGGCGTTTAGAGACAATCAGCTCTAGAGTGCTGATTGTAGATCCTAAAAGTCTCTCAACAGAAAAAAAAGCAACTAAAATTACAAGTAAGTTTAATGGGATGGTAGGAGGGAGCATCTTTTTTTTTTTTTTTTGGAGGCAGAGTTTCGCTCTTGCCCAGGCTGGAGTGCAAAGGCACAATCTCAGCTCACCACAACTTCTGCCTCCCAGATTCAAGCTATTCTCCTGCCTCAGCCTCTCAAGTAGCTGGGATTACAGGCATGCGCCACCACACCTGGCTAATTTTGTATTTTTAGTAGAGATGGAGTTTCTCCATGTTGGTCAGGCTGGTCTCGAACTCTTGACCTCAGGTCATCCTCCTGCCTTGGCCTCCCAAAGTGCTGGGATTACAGGAGTGAGCCACCGCACTCAGCCAGAGCATCATTTCTTACCATGGTTTTTATGCAACTTCTCAGATACACATCTTTGTATAAAATGAAGGCTATCTCTATATGTTGAAGTAAAATAAAACAGGTTTTGGTAAGTTCAAAGTGATACATAGTGATGCAAAATGATTACAGCAACCAGTTTTCTTTTATCATTAGAGAGTTAAGTTTTCCATGTGCAAATCTGAAATTAATTATGGTGATGTACAGATAATTGATATTGTTTCACTTTCCTCCCAGATGCATGGAGTCATCTCCCACATTTCTCTAGCCCTGACCTGGTTAATAAATACGCTGTAGTGGAACGTCTGAATTTTGCTTATTATTTACATCATGGACGGCCATCATTTGCATTTGGTACTTTTCTGGTCCAGGAATTAATCAAAAGCAAGACTCCCAAGCAACTGTGAGTATTTAAAATATAATTTTGGCTGGGTACAGTGGTTCACCCCTGTAATCCCAGCTCTTTGGGAAGCAGGAGTATCACCTGAGCCCAGGAGTTCAAGTAGGCAGTGAGCTATGGTCACACCACTGCACTTTAGCCTGGGTAACAGTGAGACTCTGCCACTGAAAAAAAAAGTAAAATAAATTATAATTTGTATTCTAAAAAAGGGCATATCTGTAACATTTTACACATACATTGAAAAACATACTGGAAACATACCACATTTAACAGTGAATACATTTGGATGGTGATTATTGTTTTCATTTGTGCTTCCCTGTGTGTCCCAAGTTTCTGGCATTCAGTGTGTGTGATTTTTGTTAACTGGAAAAAAGATAAATATATTTTGAAAAATAATCAGATTTAAAATCATATAGGAGCTTGTCAGGTATTAGTGGTTAGAGAGGGAATTCTAAGGGAGGGAGAGCATTAGGACAAATACCTAATGCATGCGGGGATTAAAACCTAGATGACGGGTTGATAGGTGCAGCAAACTGCCATGGCACATGTATACTATGTAACCTGCATGTTCTGTACATGTACCCCAGAACTTAAGGAATTATATGATGAGATGTGAATTCTATATTTAATGTCTTTAATAATTCATTTAATTCATTTTTGTAAAGCACAGAATTGAGAGGAGCATTTGCTATAATGAACAGCTAAATATAGATTTACTTTATTGGTTTGTTTTATAATTAACAAAGTAATACCTTTTTTATGGTAAAGTATTCAAGTAGTTTAGAAAGGTGAAAATAAAACATATCCCTCAGCCTCCCATTCCACATGTTAATAACATGGTTAATAATGTCTTGTGTGGGCTGAGCATGGTGGCTCACACCTGTAATCCCAGCACTTTGGGAGGCTGAGGTGGACAGATCACAAGGTCAGGAATTTGAGACCAGCCTGGCCAATATGGTGAAACCCCATCTCTACTAAAAATACAAAACTTAGCCAGGCATGGTGGTGGGCACCTGTAGTCCCAGCTACTCGGGAGACTGAGGCAGGAGAATCGCTTGAACCTGGGAGGCGGAGGTTGAAGTGAGCCGAGAGCACGCCACTGCACTCCAGTCTGGGCAACAGAACGAGACTCCATGTCAAAAAAAAAATAATAATAAAAATAAATAGTAATTTATTATGTCTTTCTCAAATTTTCTATTCCTATAAAAGGCCTATCTGAGTTTTTTTAAATGTGCTTTATGATGTCAGACTTTAAGTGGCATTGATATTCTTTGTAGTTCGTATACATACTCATAATTGATAAAATCACAAGTTGGCAGTCTTTCAGAAGTTGTACTTCATGTCTTCTGGATGAAGTTGGAAGCAAGAATAATTTAGACTATGAGTAAGTGTTTTAGAAAGTCAACTTAAGGGAATGGGGGGCTCTTGTGCCAAAAGACAACTGAAAAGCTACCAGGAACCTAAACGGGTACGTGCAAGGGGCAAAAGGGAAGGGAGAGGAGGCCAGAAATCACATGGCTGGCACTCCATGTGTCACTGATTTAATTCCATTTGCTTTTCCTGGTGAGAAATAATTTTCATGTGCTGATGTGATTTTGATTCCTTTCTTTTTCAGGATCCAGCAAGTAGGCAATGAAGCCTATGTTATAGGGCTCTCCTCCTTCCACATACCTTCAGTAGGAGCTGCATGTGTTTGTTTCTTAGAATTGCTTGGCCTTGACAGCCTCAAACTCAGAGTTGATATGAAAGTGGCCAATATAATTTTGAGATACAAGTGCAGAAATGAAGATGCTCAGTACAGCTTTATCAGAGAGTCTGTAGGTACAGCACCTTTTTTTATTTGGCCTGCTTTGTTTAGAGAAGGTGTGACTAGGTCTAAGGCATTGATTTTTGAGTGCTTGGGGAGAAAATGGCTATCTTCTTGATTTTATCCTTTTCCTGCAGAGTGTGTGTTCTTTATCTCACTTTCTTGGGCACTTTAATTGGGTTCTGAAATGGCCCTGAGCCACACTATTCAAACAGAATTGCTCAGGTTTTGACTTTTTCTCTTGACTGTATTTTGTTGTTTATATTTCTTACAGCCGAAAAATTATCTAAACTAGCTGATGGTGAAAAGGCAACCACAGAAGAATTGCTTGTTCTCTTAGAAGAAGGCACATGGAACAGCATTCAGCAACAGGAAATAAAGAGGTTTGTGAGTTGCAGTCTCAGCCTCTTTTCTAACAAGCTTATTATGCCAACCTGTATTTGCCTAATTTTTCTTTGAACAACTCTGGTGTTTCCACTAAATCCCACTAGACTTTATCTTCTTCTTTATCTAGCATATAGCAGATGCTCAGTAAATGAATAATGATTTTAATTGCATCTTGCCATCAGTGAAAAGAAGGTGAAGACAGCAGTTCTCTCTTTAGAGATGGACTTACCAAGAGAAGGAGAGCAGCTTTGTCTCTTCCACTGCCCTGCTAGTCAGAGAAGTCTTTTAAATGGTACATGTTGAAATGCCAGAAGATGTGGGTTCAGATGTCTTGGAGGATTGGAAAAAAATGAAGGAGAAGAAGAGGATGATGTGGGATGGGTCTTCTAAAATTTGACTTTAAGTAATGTCCTTAATTTTTTCTTTGTATTATGTCAATTGATAATGGAAGCTGAAGTGACTGTACGTAAAAGCATGTCCTTACACTTCATGCCTGTTTTTCTCTATGCTGCCCCGCTGAGGCTGACCTAACCACTCCAGACCCTGAGAAGGCACCATTTTTCTGTATATCCTATCACTGATTCTGTTCTTGGCAGAATCCTGCTTGCAGCAGAAACGTGTACCCTCCCTGTGGTGAGGAGGCCCAGGTACCCACCAGGCCTCTGAGTACTCTAAAGTGAATAGAGCAAGAGAATTAAGTGCTCAGAAAGTTTCTTGACTGACAACTTCCTCAGTTCTCCTAAGGATGCTACACAGCCAGTATAAATAGGTATTTGATTGATGCCTTGGGGAAGGAATGAATTGTGCCAGTATGATAAGCTAGCTATTCTGCCTTATGGGTGAAAGAATCTACTTTTTTCGGTCAGGCACAGTGGTTCACACCTGTAATCCCAGCACTTTAGGAATCCGAGGCGGGCAGATCACCTGAGGTTGGGAGTTCAAGACCAGCCTGACCAACATGGAGAAACCCCATCTCTACTAAAAATACAAAATTAGCTGGGCGTGGTGGTGCCTGCCTGTAATCCCAGCTACTCGGGAGGCTGAGACAGGAGAACTGCTTGAACCCAGCAGGCAGAGGTTGCAGTGAGCTAAGATTGCACCATTGCACTCCAGCCTAGGCAACAAGAGCGAAACTCTGTCTCAAAAAAAAAAAAAAAAGAATGAAAAAAGAATCTACTTTTCAAAGTAGCCTAATAAATATTTAGTATTTATTGGAGAATATACTGTGCTTTAATTTATATCATTTTTACTCATTTTCCAGTTCAAACTAAAGCTATATTTTAATGAATTTTTTGTTTTTTCTTGACCACCCCCACCTCTAATTCTAATTATAGGTTATCCAGTGAATCTAGCAGCCAGTGGGCATTAGTGGTACAGTTCTGCAGGCTACACGATATGAAACTAAGCATATCTTACCTTAGAGAATGTGCCAAAGCAAATGATTGGCTGCAGTTCATTATTCACAGCCAACTCCACAACTACCACCCAGCAGAGGTAAGCCACTAATTGTTAGCAGTCACTCAAAAGGAAATAGGAACACTTCTCAGAAGATAGCATTCTTTCTATTGTGTAGACATAGGCCTTTTTTTTTTTTTCTTGACATCCAGGATATGTACTGGATCCATGGGCTTTTGTTTAATGTGATACTATTATTTTTCCTAAGATTTCAGTGGGTTGGCATGAGACAAGGCACTAGTCATTAGTACTGAAGAGCTGAAAAGCTTTTGTGACTTCAGATTGAATATGGAAATTCACTCAAAAGCACCATACAACTTTGTAAAATTATATAGTAGTCATTCTGACTTAGTTCAGGGTGAGAAAGCATAATTTTGTCTATACTTTTCTCTAACATTTTCAGCTCCAGTTGAAACTGAAAGTTGGGTTTCTGTTTAATCATCTGATATGCCTTCTAGGTGAAATCCCTTATCCAGTACTTCAGCCCAGTCATTCAGGACCACTTAAGGCTGGCTTTTGAGAACTTGCCCTTAGTGCCCACCTCAAAAATGGACATCAATCAAGTCTGCAATAAGTCCTCCCAGGAACTTCAGGGAAGCAAAGAAGTGATGACCGATTTATTTGAAATTCTGCTCCAATGCTCAGAGGAGCCAGACTCCTGGCACTGGCTTCTGGTTGAAGCAGTGAAACAACAGGCCCCTATCCTCAGTGTTCTGGCCTCATGTCTCCAGGTGAGGATCATGAGAAGCCTAAATTAAGTACCCAGAGAACAATAGAATAAGTGATGAGGGACAGGAAAGGCTGATAATCAGAAGTGGGATGATGATGACAGTGAGGTTTCAGCATGTGTTTCCAAGTTCACTGCAACTTTTTGTGCTTCTCTAGCTTAGGCTCTGGGCCATTTAGTGTACTTGCTTGTGCCTTAACATTCAGTGAACTCAAGTGGTCAGAGCCTTGGCTCCTGGTTGGCAGTCACAGAGAAAGATGCTTTGGTGGACTGACCACCAGTGTTTCTTTGGTGCCTTCTTTAGCAGGGAAAAGGGACATTCCAGACAGTCCTTTAATCAGCAGATCAGTGGAGGGCAATCCTACTCTCTTACGATTCGTACTTCCCTGACTTTCACATATTCCCCCTTCTGTCTGCTTCTTGGTCTTTTGACCTGCAACACTCTGCAGGACAGTTTAGAATGGTCCCTTGGTTGCTCATTAGTTTGTTTCATGTTTGAAGGCTTTTCAAGCCATTTTAACTAATTAAGTTGGGTGACTTATTCTAAAAAGGAAATACCCATCTGTAGCATTTGAACATTTGCCAGGTAATCCAGGCCTAGTTGTTATTTTATTTATCCCATGGCAGGGTGCCAGTGCCATTTCTTGTCTCTGTGTTTGGATCATCACTTCTGTGGAGGACAGTGTTGCAACTGAAGCCATGGGACACATTCAGGACTCGATAGAGGACCATACCTGGAACCTTGAGGATCTTTCAGTCATCTGGAGAGCATTATTAACAAGACAGAAGAGCAAAACTCTCATCAGAGGTTTCCAGCTTTTCTTTAAGGTAGTGATCGTTGCTTCACTTCTTTCCAGAGCTTACGGGGTTACTTCAGCATATCCCCTCTTGGCTTTTTCTTATTTCCATCCTTGCATTTTTTTTTAGCCAACAGCAGATGATGATGATGATATTAGAAGTACCATTTACTGGCAGGGCACGGTGGCTCATGCCTGTAATCTCAGCACTTTGGGAGGCTGAGGCGGGCGGATCACTTGAGGTCAGGAGTTTGAGACCAGCCTGTCCAACATGGTGAAACCCTGTCTCTACTAAAAATACAAAACTTAGCCGGGCATGGTGGCATGGGCCTGTAATCCCAACTACTCGGAAGGCTGAGGGAGGATAATTGCTTAACCTGGGAGGTAGAGGTTGCAGTGAGCTGAGATCGTGCCACTGCACTCCAACCTAGGTGACAGAGCAAGACTCCATCTCAAAAAAAAAAAAAAAAAAATTACCTTAGCAAAGTGGTATTTTTTTATTTTATTTTACTTTATTTTACTTTTTGAGACAGGGTCCTACTGTGTCACCCAGGTTATAGTTCATTGTCATGATAAGGCTCACTCCAGCCTCAACCTCCAAGGCTTAGTTGATCTTCCCAACTCAGCCTCCCAGGTGGGTAGGACCACAGGCACACGCCACCATGCCCGGGTTTTTTGTTTTTTTGTTTGTTTGTTTTTGTTTTTTTCTTTTGTATTTTTAGTAAAGATGGAGTTTCACCATGTTGACCAGGCTGGTCTCGAACTCCTGGACTCAAGCGATCCTCCTACCTCATCTTCCCAAAGCACTGGGATTACAAGCATCAGTCACCACACCTGACCCAGGGTGTGGTGTTTTTTTTGTTTTTTGTTTTTTGTTTTTTGTTTTTTTTTTTTGAGACAGAGTCTCACTCTGTCACCCAGGCTAGAGTGCAGTGGCATGATCTCGGCTCACTGCAACCTCTGCCTCCCGGGTTCAAGCAGTTCTCCTGCCTCAGCCTCCCAAGTAGCTGGGACTACAGGCACGTGCCACCATGCCCGGCTAATTTTTTGTATTTTTAGTAGAGATGGGGTTTCACCATGTTGGCCAGGCTGTTCTCAATCTCCTGACCTTGTGATCCACCCACCTCAGCCTCCCACAGTGCTGGGATTACAGGTATGTACCACTGTGCCCAGCCTCAGGATGCTTTTAATACATTATTTTAGTGAGTTTTCACAATAATCCTATGTGAAAATAATATTAGATATTATGGACCAGACATGGTGGCTCACACCTGTAATCCCAGCACTTTGGGAGGCCAAGGCAGGCAGATCATTTGAGGCCAGAAATTTGAGACCAGCCTGGCCAACATGGCAAAACCCCGCCTCTACTAAAAATACCAAAAAAAAAAAAAAAAAAATCCGGGCGTGGTGGGATGCACCTGTAAACCCAGCTACTTGGGAGGTCGAGGCACGAGAATCACTTGAACCCGTGAGGTGGAAGTTGCAGTGAGCCAAGATCGCGCCACTGCACTCCAGCCTGGGTGACAGAGCGAGACCGTGTCTCAAAAAAAAAAAAGATATTATGAAGTGATGTTGCCCTCATTTTACACACTAATAAATCAAGGCTCACAAAACTTAAGTAACCTACCCAAGGTCTCAAAATACTTTAGTAAGTGGTGTATTTACAGTTCAGAGCCATACTTTCTAATTCAGAACTCCTATTATCTGACTGAGCGACTCCCACTGACAACAATAAAATGTATGAATCAGTGCCACAGGCAACAATAGGTAAGGTGGGTCAGTAGAGCTGATTATCCAGGTATGTGTGTTTAAAATGTTATGCCTGGGTATGCTGGCGCACACCTGTAATGTCAGCACTTTGGGAGGCCTAGGTGGATGGATCAGTTGAGTCCAAGAGTTCAAGATCAGCCTGGGCAACACGGCAAACCCCATCTCTACAAAAAATACAAAAATTAGCCTGGCATGGTGGCACATACCTCTAGTCCCACCTACTCTAGAAGCTGAGGTGGGAGGATCACCTGAGGTCAAGGCTGTAGTGAGTGAGCTGTGATCATGCCACTGCACTCTAGCCTGGGTGACAGAATGAGGCTGTGTCTCAAAAAAATAATAAATTAAAAAAATAATAAAGGTGTCATAGCACCATCTGGTGGAATGCTTCCTGCCCGTGTGCAGTGGGCCAAGTATAGAATAGACAGAGAATGCCAGACGCAGTGGCTCACGCCTGTAATCCCAGCATTTTGGGAGGCAGAGGCGGGTGGATCACCTGAGGTCCAGAGTTCGAGACCAGCCTGACCAACATGGAGAAACCCCGTCTCTACTAAAAATACAAAATTAGCCGGGCATGGCGGCACATGCCTGTAATCCCAGCTACTCCGGAGGCTGAGGCATGGCTTGAACCTGGGAGGTGGAGGTTGCGGTGAGCTGAGATCGCGCTATTGCACTCCAGCCTGGGTAACAAGAACGAAACTCCGTCTCAAAAAGAATAGACAGAATGGATTGTTGAGTAGGTGTAACTGGCCTGAGTATCATTTTTCCAAAAGGAAAATATATTTAACTTTCTTTTTAACGTACGTGATTTAATCTGTGAAGCTATTGCTAATAGCCTTTTTTTTTTTTTTTTTGAGGCAGAGTCTTGCTCTGTTGCCCAGGCTGGAGTGCGGTGATGTGATCATAGCTACAGCTTCGACCTCCAGGTCTCAAGTGATCCTCCCTCACTTGTAGCTGGGACTATAGGCACATGCCACCACACTTGGCTAATTTTAATTAATTAATTTATTTATTTATTGAGACAGAGTCTCACTCTGTCGCCCAGGATGGAATGCAGGGGCACAGTCTTGGCTCATTGCAACCTCCACCTCCCAGGTTCAAGTGATTCTCATGCCTCAGCCTCTGGAGTAGCTGGGATTGCAGGCATGCATCACCATGCCTGGCTGCTTTTTTATATTTTAAGTAGAGATGGGGTTTCATCATGTTGGCCAAAGTGGTCTCGAACTCCTGGCCTCAGGCGATCCCACTGCCTCAGCCTCCCAAAGTGCTGGCATTACAGGCATGAGCCACCATGCCCTGCCTTATTAATAGCATATTTAACATTCTCTTATTTGGCATTATTCATTGAAAAAATATTGAGTTCAAAATTTTGTAATTTTTTTTCGAACTCTTTGTCAAAGGATTCCCCATTACTATTGGTGATGGAGATGTATGAACTGTGTATGTTCTTCAAGAATTATAAAGAAGCTGAAGCTAAACTTCTGGAGTTTCAGGAGAGCCTTGAAATAGTAAGTTGGAATTATGGTGCTCTTTCTTACTGATCTGAACTTGGTTGGCATGCATGGCCTTTTTTTGTTTTTGTTTAAAGACTTGGTCTCACTCAGTTACTCAGGCACATCGCTATGATCACAGCTCACTGCAGCCTCGAACTCCTAGGCTCAAGGGATCCTCCTACCTCAGCCTCCCAAGTAGCATGGCTAATTTTTAATCTTTTTTTTTTTTTTTCTTTTTTGAGACACTGTCTGGCTCTGTCACCCAGGCTGGAGTGCGGTGGCATGATCTCGGCTCACTATAACTTCCGCCTGCCAGGTTCAAGCGATTCTCCTGCCTCAGCCTCCCGAGTAGCTAGGATTACAGGTGTCCACCACCACACCCAGCTAATATTTTTTGTTTTTAGTAGAGATGGGGTTTCACCATGTTGGTCAGGCTGGTCTCGAACTCCTGACCTCAAGTAATCCACCTGCCTCAGCCTCCTGAAGTGCTGGGATTACAGGCGTGAGCCACTGCACCCAATCATTTTTAATATTGTTTTTATAGGGAAGAAGTCTTGCTTTGTTGCCCAGGTTGGTTTGGAACTCCTTGCCTCAAGCAGTCCTCCCGCCTTGGCCTCTCAAAGTGTTGGGATTACAGACATGAACCACCATGTCCGGCCACATTGGTCTTCACTGTAATAAAGATTTGAAAGTTACATATTTGAAAATACCAAATCAGTTATTTGAATATGCCTAGGATTCTGAAACCACAGAAAATAGGCACATTAATTTCCTTAGTCTGTTTCTTCCTATGGCTCGTTGGATACCTCCCAGGTATCTTCTTATTCTTGCCTGACCAGCTTAACTAGTTCCATCATCTGCTGACATTAGTTCCTTTTCTTAGAACCACAGAGTTAAGTATACAAGTAATTAAAGACTAAGGACTAATGCCCTAATCCCAGCTAATTTTAACAAGGACGCTCAGGAGGATAAAGAATCAAGAAGAGAAATATTTTTTAAAAAAGAATAGAACTTTTGTTTTTCTAAACATCAAAATCCAGTCAGAATGGTTATAGAAAACATTCAGGAACAGTGTCTAAGCAGGAATAGTAGCAATTTAGTGAGCTAACTACCAGTGTTCTTTCTCATAATAATTCCCTTAAACACTTTGCATTAAGGGAGATGCTGCAAAAGCAAAATGATCTTTGTACTTACCAGTAGGTAAGTCCTATTGGAATTTAAGAGAGGAGGATGAGAAATGTACAGGGAGGACCACATAGGGCATAGGAGAGAGAGTAGAGAAGGAAATTCATTCCAGGTAGGGGTAAGAAGATAGCAGTAATGTGACATATGATTTTATAAACCATTCCTTAATTTAAGATCTTGGCAGTCTTGAGAATTCCATTGAAGGGAATATTGTCTTCTAAAACTTACATCACAGCCAAAAAGCCCTGCATATTAAACTTACCTTCAGAGTGACTTTTATAGTATGTTCAGAAGTATACAGGAAGTATTCAGCCAAGACTAGAGCCTAACTCAGCACTAGGCACAGAGGTACTGAATTATAAGCTTTTGGTGCCTATTAATATATACATTTTTTGAAACCCAGCAGTTAAGTTTCTATTCCACCAAAATGCCCAGTATTTTGGGGGGTTATGTTGTATGAAGTCTAGAGTGAACTACAAAACTGTAGTGACTGAGAACTAAATATTAGTCTTCCAAAAATAATACGAAGCAAGAGCCAAAGTAAAAATCAGGAATGAAGTCAAAAAAGAAGCATCTGTCAAGCACAGTCATCATACCTGTAATCCCAGCACTTAGGGAGGCAGAGGCGGGAGAATGGCTTGAGGCCAGGAGTTTGACCAGCCTGGGCAACATAGTGAGACCCTGTTCTTCACCAACACAAAGGAAAGAAAAACAACAGCAGCAGCTGCAGCAGGTAAGAAAGCACCACTCCTCTGAAATCAGCCTTTTCCTGCAGCATCCTAGAAGATATTTTTTGCCACACCTACTTGTAGAAATGCAGCCTGCCACTTGAATTCATCTTCCTATTAATATTTTTAGCATTCAGTTGAAATGATGTAAATCCAAGCTTAACTGAAACCATTCTCCAACAAGAATAAACTATAAGCAAAACGGTAGAACTAGCGAAGTAATGTTAGGCAAGTCTTTCTGAGCGGTTTTTATAATGTGAATTTAAAATCCTCTGGATTCAAGGGCAGGCCTACATCCCTCTTTAAAGAAGCTGCTAGGCCAGGCATGGTGGCTCATGCCTGTAATCCCAGCACTTTGGGAGGCCAAGGCAGGCGGATCATCAGGTCAGGAGTTCGAGACCAGCCTGACCAACATGGTGAAACCCTGTCTCTATTAAAAATACAAAAAAATCAGCCAGGTGTGGTGGTGTGCACCTGTAATCCCAGCTACTCAGGAGGCTGAGGCAGGAGAATCACTTGAACCCAGGAGGCAGAGGTTACAGTGAGCCAAGATTGCACCAGTATACTCCAGCCTGGGCAGCAGAGCAAGACTCCGTCTCAAAAAAATAAAATAAAATAAAAATAAAGAGGCTGCTAAGTGAGACGTCTGATTAATTTCACAGCAACTCAGAGGGCTATTAAGTTGACAGTCACTAAGTAGGAATATTTTACATTAACTCTGTAGTTAGCATTCAGTCTTTACGACTCTTGCCCATCTTTTTCACACATGCAGCTCTATACCAGAACTTTCCACAAAGAGACAATGTGCAAAGCGCTGAGGAGGGCTTGTTTTTGCCAGTCCTCTGAGCCCCATTACCAGTTCCTGCCATTTGGAAAGGCAGGAACCCCCGCTTTATGACAGGCAATAGCTTTTGAGGGAATTTTAGCTTCCTTAGAGGTTCCCAAATTTGGAGGTTTTGATTTGCTATTCTCATGAAACTCCTTTCCCTAAGCCTCTCTTTTTCTTTTATAGCTTAACACAGCAGCCACAAAGGTCCATCCTGTCATCCCTGCTATGTGGCTGGAGGATCAGGTGTGTTTCCTTTTGAAGCTTATGCTACAGCAGTGTAAGACCCCATATGAGCTGGGGAAGCTTTTACAGCTCTTTGTTGAAAGAGAGCATCTCTTCTCTGATGGTAAGACAATCTTTACAGTTAAGTTGCTATTAAGAAGTTAGCTTCCTTAATCTTGAAAATACTTTAGAGGGGTAGTTAGGAAATTAAAATGCATGTAACATTAACTTACAGTGTGCAACTGGGGGTGAAGAAGTTACAGAGAACTTTAAATTGTGGTTAAAATATTCAAGAAATAATACAACAGCATAAAACATAAATAATATCCAATCATCTCATTCTAAGCAGTTACCAAATAGCCACATTTCTTCCTGGCTGGCTTCTACATTACCCTGTTGCGGGGGTCCAACCCACAGACCCTGACCTAGTGATGGACCAAGACGTACACTGACTGAGATACTTGGCCTGTCAGTCCGGCTAAGGGGCTCTGCTCTGAGTCTGGAGCATTGCCTCATAAGCTGGCAAAGTTCGCATTTATTTAGTACAGATTAAATGGCAAAGGTTTCAAGTAAACACCATTAGATGGTAATTAACATTGCCGATAGTAGAGAGCAATTATGCATCTGCGGTTGATCGATGGTTGGTCTTAGGACCACATGAGTAAACAAGCTATTTAGATAAACTTCCCCACATTCCCTTGTTACTAGCTTTTTTGCTATCAACTAAAGGTAAAAAGGCTGCCTTCAGCCATATCTGTCACTGAAGCTGTGCAGACTGCCTGGCCTTCCAAGAAGGTTTGTGTTTGTTTATTTCCTATAACTATTATATAATTTTTCTTATATTAATATATAATTATCCTTATATAATATTTTCTATAACTATCTATCATAAATTTTCCTCTACAATTTTTCCCACCACCCTGACTGAACTCCCACACCCTGTCACTATCTTCTCTATGGCAAGTAACCTTAGCATTGCTCAGGGTCATAAACCCTACTTCAGAAATGCACAATTCATTTTTAAAGTTTCAGAGACAAATTGTGCTTTTTTTTTTTTTTTAGTTTCCTTGAGACATTGGCAGTCTCTAAACTTGTTGCTGATTGAATCAAACAAATATTGCTTTATTATCTTTTCCACTTGTTTGATAATTTCAAGTTTTTACTGAATGATATTTTGTTCTTTTATACTATATTCTGACAGTTTGGCTACTAGGGTTATTTTCTCACATTTAAACTCACAGATGTTCAACTGGAGAGCTCAGATTTGCACAGAACACTGACAGAATCCTGAGCTCAGAGCCAGTTGTTGCAGGCTGTGGATCTGATGACTAAGAGGAAAAAGGGGTTTTTCCGAAATGTAATGGATGTAAGATGGTACTTATCAGTTACTATGCAGACCAAAAATAAGTCCTTTTAACATATAGGTGTTTTCATTGATCTGTAGTAATTATAATTTTTTTCAAAAAATGAATTTCCTGTTGTTTGCCATAATCTATCTTTGAATAATTATAAGGATCTACTACATTGTTAAACATGACTATAATTCTTTTATTCTATAATTTTTCCGATTTTTAGAAACTGTTACTATGTGTGGATATTTAACATTTATTTGCTTAGAGGACAGGAATATGTTCTTTTTTTTTTGAGACAGAGTCTGGCTCTGTTACCCAAGCTGGAGTGCAGTAGCACGTCCTCAGCTCACTGCAACCTCTGCCTCCCAAGCTCAAGCGATCCTCCCACCTCCACCTCCTGAGTAGCTGGGATTACAGGCACACACCACCACACCTGGCTAATTTTTGTATTTTTTGTTAGAAATGGGGTTTTGCCATGTTGCCCAGGCTAGTCCCAAGCTCCTGAGCTCAAGCACTCCTCACACCTCGGCCTCCCAAAGTGCTGGGATTACAAACATGAACCACTGTGCCCAGCCGGGAATATGTTCTTTAAAAACCTGTGTTTTATATGATGCCAGCAAAACTCAACATGCCTGTGTTAGTGGTTATTGTGCAGGATGTCTCACTGTCCCCAGAACTACCTAAATCAGACTGCTGCCCAGCAGGTGGCATTGGAAATAGCCTCCTGTGGAATGTTTCTCATGCCCCTCTCTTATGGTAGGACATACATAGATTCTACTTAGACTGTTTGGGAAAAGGCGCAAACCCAGCCACATAAATTGTTGGCAGAGAATTCTTTGTTTTTGTTTAATAGAGACAAAGGTCTTACCATGTTGCACAGGCTGGTCTCTTGAACTGGCCTCAAGCGATCCCTCTTGCCTTGGTCTACCAAAGTGCTGGGATTATAAGTGTGAGCCACTGCACCTGGCCAAGAATTCTTAGTGTTACTAATAATTTCCAAGGGATATCAGGAGGAGCTCAATTAGGTCTCCCTGGGGTAAGTAGATAAATTTTAGAGGTGCAAGTGATGCTCATTCTGAATACAGTGTGCCACATTAGAGGCTACTGGCCAGCTGGAGATTTAACTGTCCTACAAGTTCTCTGTCTTGATCCACATGATTCCTGCATTGAATGAACAAATGACCACTAAGTCAGACAAATTTGATCACGGTAGGAGACAAATCCAGAAAGAGAGAGACTAGCCTGAATGACCAAAATCTTCCCAAGGTTACTGTGTTTCTGCTACATTGAAGGCCACCAACCTCTGCCCTGTATATAAAGCCAGATGTATAGATTGAGTTCATGTGCTAATCTCTACCCTTTTTTTTTTTTTTTTGAGACAGAGTCACTCTGTTGCCCAGGCTGGAGTACAATGGCATCATCTCAGCTCACTGCAACCTCTGCCTCCCAGGTTAAAGTGATTCTCCTGCCTCAGCCTCTCGTGTAGCTGGGATTACAGGCATGTGCCACCACAGTGGGTTAATTTTTGTATTTTTAGTATATACAGGGTTGCACCGTATTGGTCAGGCTGGTCTTTTCTGACCTCAAGTGATCCACCCACTTCTGCCTCCCAAAGTGCTGGGATTACAGGCATGAGCCACTGCGCCCAGCCATTAATCTCTTAACACTTCATACTATATGACAAGCAAGTACAGTCAGACTTTACCACTAACAATTTTTCTGGACCATTTTTTTTTGGTGTCTTTGGTACGCAGGAGCTACCTTATGGCTTCCTCTGCTAGTCAACCAGAGTAGAAAAATAGCTTTTTTTGGCCGGGCACAGTTGAGAGCAGCCTGGACAACATGGTGAAATCCCATCTCTACTAAAAGTACAAAAATTAGCCAGATGTGGTGGTGCACGCCTGTAGTCCCCACTACTCAGGAGGCCGAGGCAGGAGGATCCCTCGAACCCAGGAGGTGGAGGTTGCCGTGAGCCAAGATCACACCACTGCATTCCAGCCTGGGTGACAGTGAGACTCCATCTCAAAAAAACAGAAAACTCGCTTTTTATTTTTCCTTTAACCACATTACTATGTTAAACATGTATATTTTCACCCGATATTGCATTACTCTTGAAATGCTGTAGTGGCATTTTATTGACTAAATGTTTATATCCTCTTCTCTTTGCCACAGGTCCAGATGTGAAAAAGCTGTATGTCCTTTGCCAAATTTTGAAGGATACATCCATAGCCATTAATCATATAATTATTACCTGCTACAGCATTGAGAATTTTCAGCATGAATGTAAATCTATTTTGGAAAGACTGCAGACAGACGGACAGTTCGCTTTGGCCAGGAGGGTAGCAGAATTAGCTGAGTTACCTGTGGACAACTTGGTTATTAAAGAGGTATCATTGGTCTTTTAAGTTATTTAAAATCTTAACTTTTAAAATCAGCATTAAACAGTAAATCAAATGAGATATATAATTTATAGGAGATAAGGCTTTTTTTACTTTTGACACACACATTACTTTCAGAAATGGATGAGCCTACAATGCCCATTATTGAGAAATGTGTACTGCAAATGCAACATTAGTTTGTAGGATATGCTACAACTATTTTCCTTTGAATGGAATTAAATATAAGGGGGCTTCCACTTAAACCCCATTCCATGAGATCAATCAAGAATTGTTTTTCATACCATAACTTTCCAGATAAAATATCCAGGGTCATCTGTAGCCAAATCTCTGTTCGCTGATTTGATTTGGTTTTAACAAGTATGATAACGCCAGGTGCAGTGGCTCATGCCTATAATCCCAGCACTTTGGGAGGCCAAGGCAGGAGGATTGCTTAAGCCTGGGAGTTTAAGACCAGCCTGGGCAACATAAGGAGACCCTGTCTCTACAAAAAATTAAAAATTAGCCAGGCATGATGGCACACACCTGTGGTCCCAGCTCCCTGGGAGGCTGAGGTGGGAGGATCTCTTGTGTCCAGGAGGTTGAGGCTGCAATGTGCTGTGATCACCAGCCTGGGTGACAGACCGAGACCCTGTCTCAAAAGAAAAAAAAAAAACCAAACAAACAAACAAGTATGATATACTTAGGGAACATGAGCATTTATGATACTTCTTTATCCAAGAAAGGCTAAAATCTGCTTTGTTAAATTTCACAGATAACACAGGAAATGCAGACTCTAAAACACATTGAACAGTGGTCACTAAAACAAGCAAGAATTGACTTCTGGAAAAAATGCCATGAGAATTTTAAGAAACATTCAATTTCAAGCAAAGCAGCTTCTTCCTTTTTCTCAACTCAGGCCCATGTGGCATGTGAGCACCCAGCTGGATGGAGCAGCATTGAGGAACGCCATCTGCTGCTCACCTTGGCAGGGCACTGGCTTGCCCAGGAGGATGTGGTGCCCTTGGACAAGCTGGAGGAGCTGGAGAAGCAGATCTGGCTCTGCCGCATCACCCAGCACACTCTTGGAAGAAATCAGGAGGAAACAGAGCCCAAATTTTCTCGACAGATCTCAACTAGTGGTGAACTTTCCTTTGATAGTTTAGCCAGGGAGTTTTCCTTCTCCAAGTTGGCTGCTCTGAACACATCAAAATACTTAGAACTTAACAGCCTTCCATCCAAAGAGACATGCGAGAATAGACTGGATTGGAAAGAGCAGGAGTCACTAAACTTTTTGATTGGACGCCTACTGGATGATGGCTGTGTGCATGAAGCAAGTAGAGTATGCCGGTATTTTCATTTCTATAATCGAGATGTCGCCTTGGTGTTGCACTGCAGAGCACTGGCCTCAGGAGAAGCTAGTATGGAGGATCTGCACCCAGAGATCCATGCTCTCCTACAAAGTGCTGAGCTGCTTGAGGAAGAACCCGACATTCCCCTAAGGAGAGTCCACAGCAGTAAGTGAAAGAGATCAGACGGCCCAGAGTCTTAAATGGCACTGTTAGCACTGTCTCCAAGAAGGAAGGGACCCTTGTGGCAGAATAGTTATACCAAGTTAAGGGGACAACAACTTTTTTCCAGGTAATCTGTAAACTAGCCAATTAACTAGTCAATGAAATAGAAAGACCTATGTCTTTTAAACTAGCTATGTTTCAAGTTAAAGGGAATCTATCTGATTTGTAGCTAGTTCACTGAAATTTATTCTACATATTCTATACATCTGTAAATTTAATCGTTTCCAGTCTTACATTGATAGTATATAGAAATTTTTTTTTGTTTTTCTTTTTGGGTTTTTTTGTTTGTTTGTTTGTTTTTGTTGTTTTTTTCAGATGGTGTTTCACTCTTGTCGCCCAGGCTGGAGTGCAATGGTGTGGTCTCAGCTCACTGCAACCTTTGCCTCCCGGGTTCAAGTGATTCTCCTTCCTTAGCCTCCCAAGTAGCTGGGATTAGAGGTGCCCATCACCAATCCTGGCTAATTTTTGTGTTTTTAGTAGAGACTGGTTTCACCATGTTGGCCAGGCTGGTTTCAAACTCCTGACCTCAGGTGATTCGCCCACCTCACCCTCCCAAAGTGCCAAGATTACAGGCATGAGCCACCGCACCCAGCCAGAAATGTGTTCTTTATGTTAACTTTATACTGTATGACTTTGTTAAACTTGCTTATTCTAGGAGATTTCTTGTAGATTGCTCAAGATTTTCTATATGGACATTTGTGTCAGCTGCAGTATTTCTGCCTTTCCAATCTGTATGCCTTTTATTTCTTGTTCTCTCGCTTTATTGCACTGACTAGGCCTTTCAGTACTATGTTGGATAGGAGTGGTGAGAGGACATCCGTACCTTTTTACTGACCTTAAAGGGAAAATATTTGATCTTTCATCATTAAGTATGGTATTAGCTGTAGGTTTTTGAAGATAGGCTTTATCATGTTGAAAAAGTTCCCTTCTATTCCTGGTTTGCTGAGAATTTTTATCATGAATCAGTTTGAATTTAGTCATGTTATTTCTGCATCTGTTAATCTGATCATGTGGTTTTTTTTTTTAGACTATTAATATAGTAGATTACTTAGTTGATTTTTTTTAATATTGGACCAGCCTTGAATTCCCCATTTAAATAAATCCAGTTTGGGCCTGGTGCATTATTCTTTTTAATTTTTTGCTGTAATCAATTTGCTGTTTTGTTAAAGATTTTTACATTTATGTTCATGAGGAATGTTATTCTGTAATTTTCTTTATGGTACTGTTTTTGTTTTTGAGACGGAGTCTCACTCTGTTGCCTAGGCCAGAGTGTAGTGCGTAATCTTGGATCACTGCAACCTCCGCCTTCCAGGTTCAAGTGATTCCCCTGCCTCAGCCTCCCAAGTAGCTGGGATTACAGTTGTGTACCACCACGCTTGGCTACTTTTTGTATTTTTAGTAGAGACGGGGTTTCACCATATTGGCCAGGCTGGTCTTGAACTCCTGACCTCAAGTGGTCTGCCCACCTTGGCCTCCCAAAGTGCTGTGATTACAGGCATGAGCCACCATGCCCAGCCTTTTTTTTTACTGTTTGGTTTTTGTATCAAGGTAATGCTGGTTTCATGAGTTAGAAAGTATTCCCTCCTCTTTGATTCTCTGGAAAACATTGTGTAGAACTGGTGTTATTTCTTCCTTAAATGCTTAGTAGAATTTACCAGTAAAACTATCTGAGACTGGAGATGTCCATTTTGGAAGATTTTAAACCACAAATTCAGTTTCTTAAATAATTACAGGACTATTCAGGTTATCTTTCTCATCTCGGGTGAGTTTTAGCATTTTGTGATTTTCAAGGGAAACTTTTTCTTCTGCTTTTTGGGTTATTTGAACATTTTTTAGTCTTCCATTTTAATTGATTATGATTTTGACTATATCTTTGTATAGTTTAATTGGTTTTTTTAGAGATGACAATGTACATCCTTAACTTTCCACAGTATACTTAGAATCAATATTTTACCACCTCAGCTGGAATGTAGGAGGAACCTTACCACCATTTAGGTCACTTTACTCTTCTCCCTTTACATCCTACTTGCCTTTTATTACTTCTGCATACATTGAAAACCTCATTAAACAATGAGGTTTTTGTTCTTAGCCGAAAAATATATTTTAATAAACCCACCTTGGCCTCCCAAAGTGTTGGGGTTATAGGCGTGAGCCACCACGCCTAGCCTTTTTTTTTTTTTTTTTTAAATAATCAGTTTTTCATCATCTGAGAATGTCTCTATCTTACCTTCATTCCTAAAGGATGTTTTGCTGGATATAGAAAATTAGTTATTTTCAGGCCAGGTGCAGTGGCTCACACCTGTAATTCCAGCACTTTGGGAGGCTAAGGCAGGCAGATCAGTTGAGCTCAGGAGTTCAAGACCAGCCTGGGCAACATGGCAAAACCCCGTCTCTACAAAAAATACAAAAATTAGCCAGGTGTGGTGGCGCATGCCTACAGTCCCAGCTACTTGAGGGGCTAAGGCACGAGGATCGCTTGAGCCCAGGAGGATAAGGCTGCAATGAACCATGTTCATGCCACTGCACTCCAGCCTGGGCAACAAAGTGAGAACCTGTCTCAAAAAATAAATAAGAAAATTAGTTGTTTTCTTTCAGCACTTGAAAATGTTGTTCACTTCCTTTTGGCCTCCATGGTGTCTGATGAAAAATCTGCAGTCAATTGAATCATTGTTCATCTATATAAATAGTGCTTATTTCTCTGGTAGCTGTCAGTGTTTTTTTCTGTTGTTGGTCTTCAGCAGTTTGATTATATTGTAACTGGATATGTATTTCTTTGGCTTTATTCATATATTTGGGGTTTACTGAGCTTCTTGAATATGTAGGTTTATGTGTTTTACCAAACTTGGGTAGTGATCAGCCATAATTTTTTTTAATATTTTTATTTTCTCAGCACTATACCCTATCTCCTCTCCTTCTGGAACTTCAAATATATGAATATATAATTTTTGTTATTATCTCATAATTCCTTGAAGTTTTGTTCAGTTTTTGTTTGTGTGTTTGTTTGTGAGACGGAGTCTCGCTTTGTTGCCAGGCTGGAGTGCAGTGGCGCGATCTTGGCTCGCTGCAACCTCTGCCTCCCAGGTTCAAGTGATTCTCCTGCTTCAGCCTCCCAAGTAGCTGGGACTACAGGCACACGTCACCACACCCAGCTAAGTTTTGTATTTTTAGTACAGATAAGGTTTCACCATGTCGGCCAGGGTGGCCTCAATTTCTTGACCTCGTGATATGCCTGCTTCGGCCTCCCAAACTGCTGGGATTACAGGCGTGAGCCTCCACACCTGGCCAGTTCAGTTTTTTTAAAACTTTTTTTCTCTCTGTTGTTCAGATTGGATAATTTCTGTTATTGAATTTTATTTCTATGATTTTAAAATTTCAGTTACAGCCATGTATTAACAATGAGGATACATTCTGAGAAATGCATTGTTGAGTGATTTCATCACTGTGCAAACATCTTAGAGCATACTTATACAAACCTAGGTGGTATAGACTTCTACATACCTATGCCAAATGGTGTATAGCCTATCATTCCTGGGCTACAAGCCAGTACAGCATGCTACTGTACTGTAGTTGATTATAACATAATGGTAAGTATTTGTGTATCTAGACATATCTAAACATAGAAAAGGTACAGTAAAAAATATGATATAAAGATTTTTTAGCTTCAGGAAATAAACAATTGGAGATTTTCATTTAAATTTTTTTTTTTTTTTTTTTTTTTTTTTTTTTTTTTTTTGAGACTGAGTCTGTCGCCCAGACTGGAGTGCAGTGGCGAGATCTTGGCTCACTGCAGGCTCTGCCTGCCGGGTTCCATTCTCCTGCCTCAGCCTTCCCAGTAGCAGGACTACAGGCGCCCACCACCACACCCGGCTAATTTTTTGAATTTTTAGTAGAGACGGAGTTTCACCGTGTTAGCCAGGGTAGTCTCGATCTCTTAACCTTGTGATCCGCCCGCCTCTGCCTCCCAAAGTGCTGGGATTACAGGCGTGAGCCACTGCACCCGGCCTAAAAAAAATTTTTTAAATAGTACAATTTGTAAAGGGCTCTTAACGTTAATGGAGCTTACAGGACTAGAAGTTGCTCTGGTTGTCACTAAGTGGTAAATGTGAAAACTTAGGATATTACTGTACATTACTGTAGACTTTATAAATGCTGTACATTTAGGCTACACTAAATTTATTTAAAAATTAAGTAATCGTGGTATGTCACAATGACTATGATGTCACTAGGTGATAGGAATTTTTCAGCTCCATTATAATCTTACAGGATCCTCGTTGTATATGCAGTCCGTTGTTGATAGAAACATTGTTATACAGCACATAACTGCATTTTTCAGTTCTAAAATTTTTATTTTGTTCTTCATATCTTCTATTTCTTTGCTGAGACTTTGCATTTTTCTGTTTGTCTCAGGAGCATTCAGAATTGCTTATTGGAACATTTGTATTATAGCTGCTTTAAATTCTTTGTCAGATGATTTTAACTTTTGCATCATTTTAATGCTAGCTAGCATCTTGTCTTTCTCATGTGAGTTGAAATCTTCTTGCTTTTTCTTTTTTTTTTTTTTTTTTTTAGATGGAGTCTCGCTCTATTGCCCATGCTGGAGTACAGTGGTGTGACCTTGGCTCACTGCAACCTCCACCTCCTGGGTTCAAGTGATTCTCCTGTCTCAGCCTCCCGAGTAGCTGGGACTACAGAAGTGTGCCACCACACCCAGCCAATTTTTTTTTTTTTTTTTTTTTTTAGTAGACATAGGGTTTCGCCATGTTGGCAAGGCTGCTCTCAAACTCCTGACTGCAGGTGATCCACCCACCTCGGCCTCCCAAAGTGCTAGGATTACAGGCGTGAGCCACCGCGCCCAGCCCCTCTTCCTGCTTTTTCTTATACTGAGTAATTTGGGGTTGCATCTGAACATTTTGAGGTTTTTTGTTTGTTTTCTTGTTTTTGTTTTTTGAGATGGAGACTTGCTCTGTCACCCAGGCTGGAGTGCAGTGGTGCAATCTCAGCTCACTGCAACCTCAGCCTCCCAGGTTCAAGTGATTCTCGTGTCTCAGCCTCCCGAGTAGCTGGAATTACCGGTATGTGCCACCACACCTGACTAATTTTGTTGTGTTTTTAGTAGAAACAGGGTTTTGCCATGTTGGCCAGGCTGATCTCGAACTCCTGACCTCAGGTGATCCACCCGCCTTGGCCCCCCAAAGTGTTGGGATTATAGGCGTGACCCGCCACGACTGGCTGCATCTGGACGTTTTGAGTAGTGTATTATTCAAATATACTATTTGAGACTATGGATCTTATTTAAATCCTGTGAAGGATGTTGATATTTTTTAGCAGACAGTTGACCTGGTTCAGACTGAAGTTCCAAACCACTGCCTGTGCGTTGTGGTTTCAGTATCAGTTCATTTTCCTTTGTGGTAGTATTCAGATCTGTCCTGTGTGTGCATGCCACCTAATGGGCAATCTATGACCTTGGTGGCGATCTATGCTAGTTAGGATCAAAGCCATACATGTGTAGTCCAGGAGTGAGCCCTGTAGTTCATAAAAATTTATTGGGTTGCTTTCCTGGGGCTCTCTCAGCTAATTTCTGGTTCCCTGAGGGTTATCTTTTCAGTTCTTCGGCCAAAAGCTGAAGGTTTAGTTACTCCTACTCTGTCTTGCACTATCTTGACTATTCCTACACCCAGGGCCAGGTGACAGGAGGGTAATGCAAAAGCAACAGGGGTCTACTCTGCCCTCCTGAGACCAGAGCGCCCCTGCTCAGGAAAGAAGGCTCCACTGGCTGGGCACGGTGGCTCACGCCTGTAATCCCAGCACTTTGGGAGGCTGAGGCAGGCGGATCACAAGGTCAGATCAAGACCATCCTGGCCAACACAGTGAAACCCCATCTCTACTAAAAATACAAAAAAAAATTAGCTGGGCATGGTGGTAGGCACCTGTAGTCCCAGCTACTCGGGAGGCTGAGACAGGAGAATGGCGTGAACCCAGAAGGTGGAACTTGTAGTGAGCCGAGATCGCACCACTGCACTCCAACGTGGGCGACAGAGCAAGACTCCGTCTCAAAAAAAAAAAAAAGGAAAAAAAAGAAGGCTCCCCTTTCTGAGAGCCTTGACTCTTGCCACTGCAGCCTCTCCCACCACTGCCAGTGGCTTGCTTGGGAGCCAGGACAAGGAAGAACAGGAATTAGGAGTTCCCCTTTTCACTCTTCAAACTGGTACTAGAGAGCTGGAATTTGCACTCTCTCGTACACACACTTCACCTCAGCCCTCAGTTCTTAGGTTTTAGTCAGCACTGCATTCAGGCTAGAGCTTGCTAGAGGGGAAAAATGATAATTCTGGTCATCTTCAATTTGCCTGCTACTTTTTACTTTTCCAGAGTCCTTATTTAGCTGCCACATGTATTGTGTCCAGGTTTTGTGTTGAATTCAGTGGGAAAGATACAGTAGATTGAGCTTATTATAACCAACTTACCTAGAATTGGAACTCCCAGTGAAGGATTTAAGCAGGGGAATAACATGGTCTGAGTTGCATTTTATTTTATTTGTTTTTATCTTTAAGGGTTTTTGTTTGTTTTGTTTTTTTGAGACAGGGCCTCACTTTGTTACCCAGGCTGGAGTGCAGTGGTGCAAACATGGCTCACTGCAGACTCAACCTCCAGGGCTCAAGCAGTCCTCCTGCCTCAGCCTCCTGAATAGCTGGAACCACAGATGCACACCACCATCCTGAGCTAATTTTTAAATTTTTTGTAGAGGTGGGGTCTCACTGTGTTGCCTAGGCTGGCCTCAAACTCCTAGGCTCCAGGGATCCTCCCACCCCAGCCTCCCAAAGTGATAGGATTACAGGCATGAGCCACCACCTCTGACCTACAGCGCTTTTTAATAATATTTTAAAATAAAAATTAACATGTGCTTAGTGTAGCAAATCACATAACATAGAAATGTATAAAGTAAAAAGTCAGTTCAGGCTGGGCATGGTGGCTCACGCTGTAATCCCAGCACTTTGCGAGGCCGAGGTGGGCAGATCACCTGAGGTCAGGAGTTCAAGACCAGCCGGGCCAACATGGTGAAACTTCATATTTACTAAAAATAAAAAAATTAGCTGGGTGTGGTGGTGCACACCTGTAATCCCAGCTACACCAGAGGCTGAGGTAGGAGAATCGCTTGAACTCGGGAGGCAGAGGTTGCAGTGAACCAAGATAGTGCCACTGCACTCTAGCCTGGGCAACAGAGTGAGACTTCATCGCAAAAGAGAAAAAAAAAAAAAGCCAATTCAACACTACCCCCACAAAATTCCCCAGAATAACTATATATATATATTTTTTTTTTAGACAGAGTCTCGCTCTGTTGCCCAGGTTGGCATGCAATGACGCAATCTTGGCTCACTGCAACCTCCGCCTCCTGGGTTCAAGCAATTCTCCTGCCTCAGCCTCCTAAGTAGCTGGGATTACAGGCGTGCGCCACCACACCTGGCTAATTTTTTTGTATTTTTTTAGTAGAGACGGGGTTTCAGCATATTGGCCAGGCTGGTCTCAAACTCCTGACCTTGTGATCTGCCTGCCTCTGCCTCCCAAAGTGCTGGGATTACAGGCGTGAGCCACTGCGCCTGGCCCAGAATAACTCTTTTACTTGCTTGGTATGCATTTTCTACTTGTAGGCACACACACAATATTTATTTTTTGCAAAAATGAGATTACATCATATTGATCTACATTTTTCCTGTCAGTACATATAGATCAACCCCCTTCTTTCTAATGGCTGCAGAGTATTCCACTGTACAGATAGATGTACTAAGCTTTACTAATGCTTTATTGATATACATTTAAATTTTCTTTTTTTTTTTTTGCCATTACAAAGTGTGATACAAATATTCCTGTTTTTTTCCTAATAAAAATCCTTTATCAAATTAATATCTTCTTCTATTTTAGGCTAAGAGCTTTTTTTTTTTTTTTTTTTGAGATGGAGTTTCAGTCTTGTTGTCCAGGCTGGAACACGATCTCGGCTCACCGCAACCTCCACCTCCTGGGTTCAAGCAATTCTCCTGCCTCAGCCTCCCGAGTAGCTGGGATTACAGGCATAAGCCACCACACCCAGCTCATTTTGTATTTTTAGTAGAGACGGGGTTTCTCCATGTTGGTCAGGCTGGTCTCGAACTCCCGACCTCAGGTGATCCGCCCGCGTCAGCCTCCCAGAGTGCTGGGATTATAGGCATGAGCACTGCACCCAGCCAAGAGCTTTCTTTTAAAAAAATATCAGGAATAGATTTTAATTTTACTATAAATTAAAGCATATTTGCAGGTGGGTGCAGTGGCCCATGCCTGTAATCCCAGCACTTTTGGGAAGTCGAGGCGGATGGATCAGTTGAGGCCAGGAGTTCGAGACCAGCCTGATCAATATGGCAAAACCTCATCTCCACTAAAAGTGCAAAAATTGGCCAGGTGTGGTGGTGCATGCTTGTAATCCCAGCTACTCGAGAGGCTGAGGCACGAGAATCACTTGAGCCCGGGAGGCAGAGGTTGCACTGAGCTGAGATCACGCCACTGCATTCCAGCCTGGGCGACAGAGTGAGACTGTGTCTTAAAAAATTAAAGCATATTTGCATTTTAGAAATGAGTATGTCGGAGACTGATTGAGGGTAAGGGGCTGGCAGCAGGAGACAGATAACAGCTTCTCAGGATGCAGAGTGATGAAGGCTGGAACTAAGGCCACAACTGTGACTTATTTGATATAGGAAGGAGAATATAGGAGGAGACTCTGGCAAGCATCTTTGGTGCTGATCTCTAGAGCACTCATTAGGTAGCCTTGAGTCTTTGTAGCGTATGAGGTCTTTGAGGTATCCCAGGCTGGAATATCCTGGAAGAAGGCAGTGAAAGAAGTTGAAGTGGGCCCCTGTCAGCAGTGGTCCTGTAGCCCCAATCAGAGTCATGGGAGTGCAGTGCAGGGAGCCTCAAGCAGAGAGGTAGAGCCATAGAGAGCTGGGGAGAGGCCTGAACCTCCCAGCTTGAAGCCCCTCAGACTCGTATTTGCTTCCAGCTTCAAGTCTGGATAGTCAGAAGTTTGTGACAGTGCCCTCCAGTGATGAAGTGGTGACTAACCTGGAAGTGCTGACAAGTAAATGCCTCCATGGAAAGAACTACTGTCGACAGGTCCTCTGTCTGTATGATCTTGCCAAGGTATGTGCCAAGGGGTGGGGCTCCTCTTTCTGAGAGGGAGGGAAATGAGAAGTTTGAGGTTGATTTTGGACATTGCCAAGTTAGCCTTTTAGATGATAATCATGACCTGGGAGTAGAGCTCTTGTCAGGATGTTGGCCCTCATAATTTTATCTTTGGGGAATGGTGGGGAGGACACCAGGCCAGGTGCCAGGGCGATCTGACTCCTGGCTGCAGCTCAGCAAACCAGAAAGCTAGGGTTGTGGGCCCCTGTTTTGTCACCTATAAATGATGATTTGACCATGAGGGTCTCTTCTAGACTTAATATCTTGAGTTTTGCATTATGACTGTTTGGAGCATTCCGTGTGGAATGTGATGCTGTAAAGACAAGAGCCAGAGCGGGCAGAAGTTGTCTGTGCCCCTGTGCTGGTTGGGAGAAAACAGTAGACGGGAAGTAGAAGAGCACAAGAGAAACACAGCCAAACCCCAAAGCCCACGTCTTGGAGAAGACTCAAAGGCTTCTTCGGAAATTGAGGGTTTTGCTGCTGCTCTGGGAATAATAAGGGTTCTTGCATTTTAGTTGGTGTTCTTACATTTCATAATATTTTTAAAAATCAGGCCGGGCACAATGGCTAACACCTGTAATCCCAGCACTTTGGGAGGCTGAGGCAGGTGGATTACTTGAGGTCAGGAGTTTGAGACCAGCCTGGCCAACATGGTGAAACCCCATCTCCACTAAAAATATAAAAATTAGCTAGGCATGGTGGCAGGCGCCTGTAATCCCAGCTACTCGGGAGGCTGAGGCAGGAGAATCACTTGAACCTGGGAGGCGGAGGTTGCAGTGAGCCAAAATCACGCTAATGTACTCCAGCCTGGGTGACCAAAAAAAAAAAAAAAAAGCCAGGTGCGGTGGCTCATGGCTGTAATCCCAGCACTTTGGGAGGCCAAGGCAGGTGGATCACTTGAGATCAGGAGTTCAAGAACAGCCTGACCAACATGGAGAAACCCCATCTCTACTAAAAATACAAAAATTAGCTGGGTATGGTGGTGCACGCCTGTAACCCCAGCTACTTGAGAGGCTGAGGCAGGAGAATTGCTTGAACCCAGTAGGCAGGCAGCAGTTGCAGTGAGCCAAGATTGTGCCATTGCACTCCAGCCTGGGCAACAAGAATGAAACTCTCTGCCGCCCCCGCCCCCCAGCCCCCAACCAAAAAAATCAGTGCTCAACAAGAGAATCACCTGATGCTTTCTGAAGACAAGTCTGTCTTTTACCTGGATTTGGCTTTGGTGAAATGATAGAAAGGGTTAGAAAACAGTAGTTGCTTTTTCTAAGGTTCCTGCTGAGGGTGAGTAGTCTTTAAGCTCAGAAAACAGAAACAGTGGAGTCTATCCACATCAGATTTCAGAAAGGGCTCTTTTGCTTTTCCCTGGCTTCTAAAAGTGGCCTTGACTGGCTTTGTCTTCCTCTCAGGAGTTGGGCTGTTCCTACACAGATGTTGCTGCTCAGGATGGTGAAGCCATGCTCCGGGAAATCTTGGCCTCTCAGCAGCCTGACCGATGCAAACGAGCCCAGGCCTTCATCAGCACACAGGGCCTTAAGCCAGATACTGTGGCTGAACTCGTGGCAGAAGAGGTGACACGGGAGCTGCTTACTTCATCACAGGGAACAGGTGCCCTACCCCTCAGCGATTGCCAACCTTTCCGACAGCATTCTCTAGTTCCCAGTGTTAAGGATTTGAATGTTGTGCTTATATACACCCTGTATGTGGTTCTCTCAAGTTTCTGGATTCCAGTAATGTATTTTGTTTAAATACAACAAAATACATGTACAAAATACATGCTGTTACTTTTTATTGTTTTATGATTACATTGAGAGTAGCTGTGGCTTTCTGAGCTACAGAACTGTCCTGGCTGGGCAGGGTGGCTCACGCCTGTAATCCAGCACTTTGGGAGGCCAAGGCTGGCGGATCATGAGGTCAGGTGATAGAGACCATCCTGGCTAATATGCTGAAACCCCGCCTCTACTAAAAATACAAAAAATTAGCTAGGCATGTTGGCTGGCACCTGTAGTCCCAGCTGCTGGGGAGGCTGAAGCAGGAGAATCGTTTGAACCCGGGAGGCCAAGGTTGCAGTAAGTCAAGATCACCCCACTGCACTCCAGCCTGGGTAACAGAGAGACTCTGTCTCAAAAAAAAAAAAAAAAAAAAAAAACCTGTTCTATAAAATGACCAATAGGCCAAGGGTTTCAAGCTCAGCACGTGGAGAGCTGCAGAGCTCCATTAGCATCACCTCCTGGTGCCCAAGCCTGGGCAGAGTGGGCCTCTCTCATGATAAAACCAGCGCCTGTCTTCACACCTCTCTGTACAGGACATAAGCAGATGTTCAACCCAACAGAGGAAAGCCAGGCATTTCTTCAGCTGACCACTCTGTGCCAAGACCACACATTGGTAGGCATGAAGTTGTTGGATAAGATTTCCTCCGTTCCCCATGGGGAATTGTCTTGCAGTAAGTTATTGGCCTTTTTCTTACATATTTTGGCCCTAAACAGGTCTCTCCCAGTCTCTCCAAAACTTGATTTGGGTCCTTGTTCCTGCTCTGGATACCTAGCCCTCCAGCAGGGGTTATAAGTTCTTGGTAGAAAGCCTTAACTTCACTGAAGAAAATTTAGAAAGTATGGATGAGTACCCCCAAATTTAAAACCATACAAAAAGGTAACCTTTACTCAACATGCTTATTTCACTCTTATATTGCCCTGCAAAGTGAATATTATTGTCCGCATTTTAGAAGGGAGACAAACTTTACCTTAGGAAAGCTGATCACATCTGTTAAGTGGCAGAGCTGGTGTTCAAACCCAGGCTGTGGATTTCAAAGCCTGTTTATTGGCCGGGCGCGGTGGCTCAAGCCTGTAATCCCAGCACTTTGGGAGGCTGAGACGGGCGGATCACGAGGTCAGGAGATCGAGACCATCCTGGCTAACACGGTGAAACCCCGTCTCTACTAAAAAATACAAAAAACTAGCCGGGCGCGGTGGCGGGCGCCTGTAGTCTCAACTACTCGGGAGGCTGAGGCAGGAGAATGGCGTGAACCCGGGAGGCGGAGCTTGCAGTGAGCTGAGATCCGGCCACTGCACTCCAGCCTGGGCGGCAGAGCGAGACTCCGTCTCAAAAAAAAAAAAAACAAAAAAAAACAAAGCCTGTTTATTTTCCATGATGTCTAACTCATTATAGGCCTTCATTAGAATGTGTGATAGGTTCTTTTTTAAAAAATGACATTATACTCCATATAGTTTATAATTTTTTTGCTTTATGAATATGCTGTCATTAACATTTTTCATGGCATTGAATATTCTCCTATATAACTTCTAATGGTTACACAGATTTCTCTTATATATAATGAAAAATTGTATTTTAGAATGGGAACAGTGGCCCATGCCTGTAATCCCAATGCTTTTGAGAGGCCGAGGGCAGAGGATAATTAGAGGGTAGGAGTCTGAGACCAATCTGGGCAATATAGTGAGACCCTGTCATTACAAATATTTTTAAAAACTTAGCGGGGCACGGTAGTGCACACCTGTAGTCCCAGCTACTTGAGAGGCTGAGGTAGGAGGATCCCTTGAGCCCAGGAGTTGGAGATTGCAGTGAGCTCTGATTGCAACACTGAACTCTAGCCTGGGGAACAGAGTGAGATCCATCTCTAAAAGAAATTTAAGTAAAAATAGCCTTCTATATCTCTTCTCGGTCCAGTTCAACAGTATTTACTGAGTGTCAACTGTGTGCCAGGCACTATAAGCACCTAGGATATGGTGTATAAGCAATTCCTGGAGCTCAGACTAGGGTCTTAATACACAGTAAGAGCCAGAATGATGGGGTCAAGATACAGTTCTGGAGGAAATGTTCAAACGAAGGCCTAAAGGATTCATTGTCAGGGATGCTTAGTAGTCAGGAGGACTGGAGAGGGCCCTGCAGATGCAAAAGCCCAGAGGTTGCAGCATGTTTTAAGGATGGAGACCTTTTTCGGTCCTCACATTGCAGGTGTTTTTCCCAGTGTGCCTTTTAATTGTGCTTACAGTGATTGTAGCATTTTTAAATCTGTACATGTCAGATCTTTCACTACTCTAGAAAGCCAGAACACCAAATGGCACTTGATTAGGCCCTGAGACCTTCCGCTGAGATAACAAGCAGAGAATGCCCTTGGATTCATGTTGGCAGGAACTCCATCAGTTTGTCTGCAGGAAGTTTCTCCATGTTTAGAAGGCGAGGGTGCTGTGTTCTCATTTTGGGGGCCTTCTGGGGATAGTCACTACATGATTGTCTTTGAGGATTGTGCTATGACTGAGAGAACTATTTGGATGTCACCAAGGGGCTGTCTCAGAGCTAGAGCTGCTGAGTTCACGGACCTTGGAGGGCTGGTGGGAGGGACCTCTCCAGACAGGCCCCTTCTCCACCAGGCCCTTTTTCCCTCCTGCCAGGCAGAGGTTGACAGTAGGCAGCCAGGGTTCATAATCCTATCTTACCAGTGCCTACCCTCCCAGCCACAGAGCTCCTGATCCTGGCCCATCATTGCTTCACCCTGACGTGCCACATGGAGGGCATCATCCGAGTCCTACAGGCCGCCCGGATGCTCACAGATAACCACCTAGCCCCCAGTGAGGAGTATGGGCTGGTGGTAAGTAACCCCCTCAACCCGTCTCCATCCTGTGGAAACCTTTGAGAGGAGTAGGAAGGGTGGGGGCCAGCCCAGAGCTGATGTAGTTGTAGGAAGTTCTGCCCATCTGGATACCACTACCTACTTGAGAGTCGGCTGGGCAGCCCAACCCTCTGCTCCAAGTTAGGATTTCTGTCAGAATCAGCGGTTGCTCCAAAGGAACAAAAGGGAGAAGATCCCTGCCAGGTTCCGGGGCCATCCCACCTCCTTGTCAGGGCAGTTAACTTTTCTAGAGGGCTAAGACAGCTGCATTTTTCCCCAAAACGAGGTTTGAACCTTCTCCCCACCTCTGAATTGAAGTAAGTTGGCAACTCAGTTCCCATGTGCCTCCCTAAATTCTCTGGGCTTGAAACCGACCTGAGTTACTGAGCAAGCCACTGGGCCACTGTGATGAGTAGCGGTGAGAAGAGGAAGAGTGCCTGCCCAGGAGAATGGTACTTTAGCACTTGAGAGCCACATTTTTTTTTAAGACGGAGTCTCGCTCTGTCACCCAGGCTGGAGCGCAGTGGCTGGATCTCAGCTCACTGCAAGCTCCGCCTCCCAGGTTTACGCCATTCTCCTGCCTCAGCCTCCCAAGTAGCTGGGACTACAGGCACCCACCACCTCGCCCGGCTAGTTTTTTGTATTTTTTAGTAGAGACGGGGTTTCACCATGTTAGCCAGGATGGTCTCGATCTCCTGACCTCGTGATCCGCCCGTCTCTGCCTCCCAAAGTGCTGGGATTACAGGCTTGAGCCACCGCGCCCAGCCTGAGCGCCACATTTAAGGACAGCAAAGCCGGGTGTGGTGGCTCACACCTGTAATCCCAGCACTTTGAGAGGCCGAGGCAGGCGGATTGCCTGAGGTCAGGAGTTCGAGACCACCCTAACACGGTAAAACCCTGTCTCTTTACAAAAATTAGCCAGGCATGGTGGCGCACGCCTATAATCCCAGCTGCTCAGGAGGCTGAGGCAGGAGAATTGCTTGAACCTGGGAGGCGGAGGTTGCAGTGAGCTGAGGCTGTGCCACTGCACTCCAGCCTGGGTGACAGAGCAAGACTCCGTCTCAAAAAAGGAAAAAGAACAGCCAATGGTGGCCCAGTGACTGACATTTCTGAATTCTCCAGAGGCTCCCTGTTGGGTATGGGGCGGGGGAGCAAAGCATGGTAGCCTGGAAATTAGCCCTTCTCCTCCTGGAGCTTGGCATCTGAAAGCAGCCACTGATGGTAGTGGTCTGGCTCAGAGAACTCCAGACTCCAGGTGATGCTGATGCGAGCTGTCCTCCCACTTCACAGGTACGGCTCCTCACTGGCATTGGAAGGTACAACGAGATGACATACATATTTGATTTGCTGCATAAAAAGCACTACTTTGAAGTGCTGATGAGGAAGAAGTTGGATCCGGTAGGTGCAAAGTAACAAGCTCCAGGATGGGGTGTACTGCTGACAATTCAGGAGCCTCAGTTTTTCTCAGGAATAATCTCAGTCATGCTAGACTCTTAGGAAAACGGAGGGAATGAATTGGGGACCTCCCCAAGACACACACTATCACCAGTGGCTTCAGATTCTGGTTCAGATCAGTCAGTGAATATGCTGATGCTATATGTATTTTATGTGTGTGTGTGTGTGTGTGTGTGTGTGTATATATATATATATATATATTTTTTTTTTTTTTTTTGAGACAGAGTTTCGCTCTTGTTCTTGTTACCCAGGCTGGAGTGCAATGGTGTGATCTCAGCTCAACCTCTGCCCCCTGGGTTCAAGCGATTCTCCTGCCTCACCCTCCCAAGTAGCTGGGATTACAGGCCCACGCCACCACGCCCGGCTAATTTTGTATTTTTAGTGGAGACGGGATTTATCCATGTTGGTCAGGCTAGTCTTGAACTCCCAACCTCAGGTGATCCACCCATCTCGGCCTCCCAAAGTGCTGGGATTACACTATGCCCGGCCAATGCTAAATACTGAAGAAAATAAGTTTGTCCTCCTCCACCTTAGCCTCTGTCACCTGCCTATGCTGTCTTAAATGCCTTCTCTGGCAAGGGCAAAAACCCTGAGAGCCAGGCTGAAAGTGGATTGTCTAGCTGTGAGGTTGTTTGAGGGCTTTTAGAGTGGAGAGTTTTCAGGACACTGTGAAAAATTGTGCTGCTAAGAGCCAGGTTAGGAATCAAACACAAAAGTTTAGACTAAAAAGCTGTGGAGCCATTTATGATGATGAACAGGAAGGCGGCTTGGAAGCAAAGGCCTGACTTGGTTAGGTCTTGGGTTCTGAGAGCCCGTCTGTCCTGAGTGTGCTCTGTGACACCAAGCATATCCCTCACAGTACCTGTTTCCAGATCATTTGTCTGGATGACTCATTGCTTCTGCTCATTTCACCTTTGGCTTCTGGGAACATGGGCCCAGCCAGGCAGGATTAACAGACAAAGCAGAAAAAAATCTCTCTTTAATATTGGGCCAATTTCAGGACAGACCAATCTAGTCATCAAGTGAGGAGCAAGTCCTGGACATAGGTGCATCTTCAAGATCCCCAGAGGGTTTTTAAAATTGTTTTTTAGGCAGTTTTCCTTCTGCATTTATATATTCCTTTAATAACTTTTCTGGTTACAAAAGTAATGCATATTCCAGGTAAGACACTTGGAAAACAGAACAACACAGAAAAAGCCCTCAGTATCCATCATCCAGAGACAGCCACTAACAATTTGGTATAGGCCCTTTCTTTGAACATGTACCCGAAAACATCTATATATAATTACATTTTAATAAGACTTATACAGTGAAGGTATGAAATATCCTGCTTTTCTCACTTAACAAAGTATATCATGACTATTTCCCAAATCAACAAATCATCTCCTACATAAGTTTTAATGGCTACATGGTATTCTCTTCCCCTGATTTTGGATATCTGGATTATTTCTAATTGTTTGCTATTAAATATCCCTGTTACATTCATCTTCTCTGCTTATCTCTTTAGGGATAGATTCCTAGAAATTGAATTGTTAGATCAGCTTATGCGAGTGTAATTTTAAGGCTTCTCCCTTTAGAAAAGTTTCGCCTTTCACACTCCCAACAGGAAAGCGCACATGCCTGTTTCCTCATACTTGGGACAGCATAAAACTTGTATTCATTCTCATTTTTGCTCCTCTCTTCCTTTTTCTTGGGAGTTTTTAAGGAATGCAGAACCAGATGACTCAGCTAGTCCTGTCTGCCTTGCAGTCCCTGACTGACACCTTGCTATTCCCTTTTATTCTTGGCAGAGTGGTACCCTGAAGACAGCCCTGCTGGACTACATCAAACGCTGCCGTCCTGGAGACAGTGAGAAGCACAATATGATTGCCCTGTGCTTCAGCATGTGCCGGGAGATTGGCGAGAACCACGAGGCAGCTGCCCGCATCCAACTGAAACTGATTGAGTCTCAGCCCTGGGGTGAGTGAGGTCACAGCAGCACTACCAGAACAGTGCTGCTAGCCGGGTAAAATGCTTTATCCCCAGGCTGGAGTGCAGTGGCATGATCTCAGCTCACTGCAAACTCTGCCTCCTGGGTTTAAGTGAATTCTTCTGCCTCAGCCTCCCAAGTAGCTGGGACTACAGGCATGCGCCACCACACCTGGGTAACTTGTATTTTTGTTTGTTTGTTTTTTGAGACGGAGTCTCGCACTGTCACCCAGGCTGGAGTGCAGTGGTGTGATCTCAGCTCACTGCAGCTTCCGCCTCCCAGGTTCAAATGATTCTTCCGCCTCAGCCTCCCAAGTAGCTGGGATTACAGGCAACTGCCACCATACCTGGCTAATTTTTTGTGTTTTTAATAGAGACAGGGTTTGACTACGTTGGCCAGGCTGGTCTTAAACTCCTGACCTCGTGATCCACCCACCTTGGCCTCCCAAAGTGCTGGGATTTACAGGCATGAGCCACCACGCCCGGCCCTGGGTAAAATTCTTACAGCAAAGGACGAGCCCATGAGATTGGCTATTAGAAGAATCTTGAGGTAGGTGGCCCGGTGCGGTGGCTCATGCCTGTAATCCTAGCACTTTGGGAGGCCGAGGCAGGTGGATTGCCTGAGCTCAGGAGTTCAAGACCAGCCTGGGCAACATGGTGCAACCCTGTCTCTACTAAAATACAAAAAAAATGAGCCGGGTGTGGCAGTGTGCACCTGTAATCCCAGCCACTCGGGAGGCTGAAGCAGGTGAATCACTTGAACCCAGGAGGTGGAGGTTGCAGTGAGCCAAGACGGCACCATTACACTCCAGCCTGGGTGACAAAGAGAGACTCTGTCTCAAAAAATATCGCTCAGCAGGAACCCCACGTGGGCAGACAGATGGAACAGAGACTTGGAAAACATTTGCACCTTAGGATTATACTCTTGGATCTATATAGCCTGTATATCCAGGGTATCATTCACCAGGAACCAACATGCATGTTGATACCATGTAAGTCTTCCTTGATGTTTCGGAGAAATGAGGCATTAGAGGGGGCACTGAATCCTACTTCAGAGTGAAGTTAAACAATAGGCATATGCATTTCCGGCCCAGTAACCTTTATCTGAGTGAGGTGTTCCTGCCTCGCTGTGAACATGGCTGGGATGTTTCTATTCTAGCCCCCATCACTATGAGTGGGATGATAACAGTTGGCTTTGGGAGTCAGACTTGGCAAATCTTTATTTCCCCTACAGAGGACAGTCTCAAGGATGGGCACCAACTGAAGCAACTGCTGCTGAAGGCCCTGACTCTGATGCTGGATGCAGCAGAGAGTTATGCCAAGGTAACCAAAGGCTTTTTCCAGACTGGCCTTAGGACTTGCTGTCTACAGTAAAATTCTTTCCTTTTGTCCTTGGGCTCTTCCAAGGGAAGGGGGAGGGCATCATAGGCCAACCAGGAACAGAAAGGGTGAATACTCTTGTGAGGGTTCACACAGGAGGTAACTACGTCTTTCTCTACGTGTGCCTCTCTCCACCCTTGTTCCTCAGGACTCCTGTGTGCGACAGGCCCAGCACTGTCAGCGGCTCACCAAGTTGATAACTCTGCAGATTCACTTTCTGAACACTGGCCAGAACACCATGCTCATCAACTTGGGCCGCCACAAGCTAATGGACTGTATTCTGGCCCTACCTCGGTTCTACCAGGTAAGCAAGAAAGCAAACTCTAGGCAGCACTGCTAGCATCCTTTCTCCTTCTGTCCCACTCATGGAACCAGAGGTAAGGTCTCAGGGCTAGTGACAGAACCAGGACAGTCCAGTTCTGACTTAACTGATACCAACAGAAAATGTCAATTTGATGTATTTCTCTCTAGTATGTTGTTGGGCAGAGGTTAAGAGAATGGTAAGATAGTGCTGTCTCCCTTTCCTGTGCTATTAAGACAGCAGAGAGGCAGACACCTTTGGCCCTTTAGACTATCTGTCCCCAGCCTCCAGGCTGCGGACTGGTACTGGTCCATGGCCTGCTGGGAACCAGGCTGCACAGCAGGTGAGCACCAAGCAAGCAAGCATTACTGGCCTGAGCACCACCTCCCGTCAGATCAGCAACAGGACTATATTTTTATAGGAGTATAAACCCTGTTGTGAACTGCACATGCAAGGGCTCCTTATGAAAATCTAATGCCTGATGATTGAGGTGGAACATTTTCATCCCAAAACCATCCCTCCCAGTCTGTCATTGATGCCAAAAAGGTTGGAGACCACTGTCTTAAGACAGTTGAGGTTCAGAGTAATACTCTTGCTAGTGGTCCTGCAAGAACCTCCTAGCCCTAGCAGTTACAGAATGGCACACTCAGGTTAGTAGGTTAGTACAGGAAGTCAGGGAGATTGGTTCTCGCCCTTTAAAGAAGTGAATTATCAGGGAATCAGCCCTTTCACTGTTCCTTATACTGCTGAGTTAATGGGAGTGATATATTCTTAGCAGTCTTAATTCATTGTGAGGAAGATTAAAAACACTGAAAGCTGGGCATGGTGGCACATGCCTGTAGTCCCACATATGCAGGAGGCTGAGGCGGGAGGATCCTGAGCCCAGGAATTTCTGGTCCAGCCTGGGCAACATAGTGAGACCATGTCTCTTTTTTTAAAAAGGTTTAAGATAATTTGGGGATTTATGGGAGAGAAAATGCCAAACACACACCAGACTTTTCACCACCTCCGATACATAGAGCCTTTTTACATAATTGGTAATGATCATATTCACTACACGAGTGAGCATACAGTATTGTTTTCTACAACAGTTTGTTTTTGATTTTACATCAGATGGGCTCTGATGGTGTCCTTCTTCACTTCTCTCCTTTTAAGGCTTCTATTGTGGCTGAGGCCTATGATTTTGTTCCAGATTGGGCTGAAATTTTATACCAGCAAGTGATACTTAAAGGAGACTTTAATTACTTGGAAGAATTTAAGCAGCAAAGGTTATTAAAGTCCAGTATATTTGAAGACATTTCCAAAAAGTAAGTATTAAAAGCTGACCGTAAACATTTATCCTTGCCTCTGCTTTGAGGTGAGACAAGTGTTAAGAATTTTATGGCTAAGTACACCATGCCTTTAGATTACCTCTACTTAAAATGGCAAAGCAATATCAAGAATCCTTATTGGGAAGAGTCTTTTAACAGATTTATGCAAACAGATGAACAAGAACAGTTTGCTTATAGTGCTTTGTACTTTAAAATGGGAGGATAGCTACTCATTGCCAAAAACCTAAAACAATGGCCAGGCACAGTGGCTCACGCCTGTAATCTGAGCACTATGGGAGGCTGAGGTGGGAGGATCACTTGAGGTCAGGAGTTCAAGACCAGCCTCACCAACATGGTGAAACCCTGTCTCTACTGAAAATGTAAAAACTAGCTGGGTGTGGTGGTGGGCGCCTATAGTCCCAGCTACTTGGGAGGCTGAGGCAGAAGAATCGCTTGAACCTGGGGGCAGAGGCTGCATTAAGCCGAGATCGTGCCACTATACTCCAGCCTGGCAACAGTGTATGACTCTTACCACAAAAAACACTAAAACATCAGAGGTGCCTTTTGGAGTACTAAACTTAACTCTATAAGGTGAGCATTAACATACTCATTTTTAATGAAGTATTTTATCAAGCACCCACAATACTAGTCTGAGATAACCCAGACTCCAGCACTGTCTCCTCTATAGGTAATAGTAAGTGGTACTTCAGAGCTGACAGCCCTCACTCAAAATACAATATCCTAAGGTGGGCACAGTGGTACACACTTGTAGTCCTAGTTACTTAGGAGGCTGCAAGAGAAGCACTTGAGCCCAGGAGTTCACACCTCTGAAAAGCCACTAGTGAGACCTCCATCTTTTATTTAGAAGAAAAGAAAAGGAAAAAAAAAAAACAAAAAACGGGCAGGCACAGTGATTCACGCCTGTAATCCAAGCACTTTAGGAGGCTGAGGCTGGCAGGTAACTTGAGGCCAGGAGTTCAACACCAGCCTAGCCAACATAACAGAACCCTGTCTCTACTAAAATTACAAAAATTAGCCAGGGTGATGACACATACCTGTAATCCCAGCTATCAGGAAGCTGAGGCACAAGAATCACTTGAACCCAGCAGGCAGAGGTTGCAGTGAGCCAAGACTGCTCCACTGCACTCCAGCTTGGGCAACAGAGTAAGACTCTGTCTCAAACAAAACAAAAAAACAACAGTTATCTTAACCTGTACATTATGTTTCTTTATCTAGATATAAACAACATCAGCCTACTGACATGGTCATGGAAAACCTGAAGAAATTACTCACATATTGTGAAGATGTTTACCTGTATTACAAGTTGGCATATGAACACAAGTTTTATGAAACTGTAAATGTGCTTCTGAAGGACCCTCAGACAGGCTGCTGTCTAAAGGACATGCTAGCAGGTTAGATGATTTCATAGGTGCCTGTTTTCTTGTACTGTTAGCAGGTTCTGACAGATGAGATGAGTAGAATAATGCATTGGAGATCTTTGTTAAAGTTGAACAATCCCAGTACTGTACCATATCAGTCCTTTGTGGGTAGTAGGCAGCAAATGAGAAACTTTTCAGAAGGAAATTCCTATTTGAAATGGACTGATTTTAGATGACTGTTCATCTATACCATTTTATATAGATACTAGTATTAAGATCAAAAGCTTCCTCTTCCTCAGGACAGCTTCTACTTTAGATGATCCAATAGTAATTAAAGAATATACCTGTACCTGCAGATTCCAGTTTCAAAGAAATTTAATATTATTTACACAGTTAAGGAACAGGTGATACATTTTCATTTGTTAGAAACTGATCTTTCTGTAATAAAATAGATTTTCAATTCAGTGTATGTCATTATTACTGCTAAGGAAATCTTAGCCCTTGTCTGCCTTAAAAGAATCTTTATTTACTGTAATTATTGCTATGTAGTCACTACTTTTTGTTAATTCCTCAAATCACTCAGATGGTCTTGTTTTCCACTTAGTAAGTAGTCTACAGAGCTTTGACGTTCCTATTTCCTATATAAGAGAAATTTAAAACATTTTTTGTTCTTTCTGTCTTAGGGGAATAAAAAAAACACTAACCACACATTTGGTTAAACTGCTTAGGAGAAGACATAATAACGATTCCCCAATCTATACTTAACAGCCATAAACCTGAGTTATAGGCTCAGTTACTCCAAATAAATAGTTCTTATAGGTACTTAATTAGGCCTTAGTATCTAAATAACAAAATAATTTCCCCAAATAAATAAGATGAAGGCAGCCCTATACCTTTGTTGCTCTATGGTGACATTATTAAGGACCTGGCAAATCACTCGTTTTAAAGCTGTAACTATGTCAAGCATTTATTAAGATTTAGTATGTAGAGAACTGTAATCCCAAGAGCTGTGTTCTATACTCTCAAAAAGTATCTCTTGGGAGGTAACACAAAATTTAAGTCCTCACAATAGTGATTTTATTAAATTAGTTGCTTTATAAAACATTGCAGATGTCATAATTGTTAACATAACAATTTACCAAACTGTAGTTAACTGGTGCAGTTTGCTGAGCATGTTTTATAAAGGAAAGGAAATGCCAAAACCCTGGTAAAGTTGTTCCATTGCAGCCTAAGAGAACAAAGATTTGTTTCTCAGACACTTAAATCAGTCAAATAAAAATGTTTCCCTCCCCCACCTGAAGCACTTCATCAGTAGAAATAGCCTGATAAATAACTAGACAGTCTTTGCACTGAAGAGATTCCACAACATGTAATGCAATAATGGAAAGGTTACCTTCTTTAGCTTCAAAGTTGGAGGGTTTTGGTCATTTTAATTTTATATCAAACTAGTGCTTTTCAGCCGCAGTATCTTCACTCTGAGATAAGCAGTCTTCTTCACAATGTATTTTTAATATCCTCATGTTCAATTTTAAGACAAAGCAATTTTAATACTAGGTGCACACCACATGCCCTTGCTGCAAACTGCTTTTCTTGACAAGTTACGAAGTAGTTCAAGGAGGTATGGTTAAGGCTGTATTACTGAATGGTGCTGGTAAATACTACACAGTTTTTTTGTCATGTTGCAACCTTTTGTTTCCAATTTATTTAGTGACTGCTGCTATGAAATCAGATAGCAACAATGACAACATTATTAGGTTTGTTTTGAACTATGATTTAGTAGCAACTTAGGTTCCAATTTTAACCCCTTGGCAGCAAGATCCAAGTTCCCTCATTTGCACATTAGCACCTAAGTGTCAAGGGGTTAAATAACCAGCACAAAATATACCGCACTTCTGATTGTAGCATTTGGCAGAACTGAAAGGAAAGGAAGTTGTGCTACATGTTCAAGGGATTGTGGGCAACATAAAGATGATACCAAGAAAAGATAAAACGTCACATGAAGTCTTCATAGTCTTGTACATATCCTCCATCATAACCACCATAATCTGCCAGATCATCTTTCATGGTGGCTTTTAATCCCCCTCCAGGAACCACACCTTTCTTCTTCTTTTTGGCTTTGCTTTGCTAAAGATGAAAGAGAGTTAATTCATGAAACTTTATGTGCTATGGGCATCTTACCTGGTATAGCAAACCTCACAGACACACAAAAACCTTTGGTCCCAGACACACTAGTTCCGTAAGGGACAACCGAGCCTACATGTTTTGGACCTGAACAGGTCTCTAAAAGGTCTCCCAGAGTCAGTCTCTCCAAAACTTGATCTGGGTCCTTGTTCCTGCTCTGGATACCTAGCCCACCAGCAGGGGTTATAAGTTATTGGTAGAAAGCCTCAACTTCACTGAAGCAAATTTAGAAAAGTGTGAATAAGTACCCCCCAATTTTAACTCACAAAGCTAACCTTTACTTGACATACTTCTCTTACTTTTATAAATATTCTGCAAAGTGAGTATTATTGTCCCTATTTTAGAAGGGAGAAAACTGAAGCTTAGAAAAGCTGATTTACCTATAGCTATTGAGTGGCAGAGCTAGTATATGAACCCAGTCTATGATTTCAGCAATTTCTATGAACTCAGAAAAGGGGAACATGTCTGGAAACAAAAGGACAGTAATAGCACCCATACTCCTGTTCTAGTCTAACTTAAATGGTATTAGTGAGTTGCTTGACTTTTAAGTAATTAGGACAGGCTCCTATTACATTTGTTGAATGTTAGACCTATAACCCCACTCTAATTTAATACACATTTCCCTACACAGCTTGCTCTTACCTTTTCTTGCTTCTGTTTTTCACTGCAAAGCACAGTCAGTGAATTGGTAATTTTTTTCAAGTCATCAATTTCCACTTAAAAAAAAAAAGGGCATACCATTAAATGTGAATTTTTAAGCATTTTGAAAACTTAAAGCTAAATATATACATTCCACATATATCTATATATCCCAAAATGTACATTCCAAAAGTGTTATGAGAAATCCAATTTATTCACTGTTAAACTTCAGTAACTATGAAAGGACCATGAATTTCTTCTTTTTAAACATAAGGTGGCCGGGCACAGTGGCACATGCCTGTAATCCCAACACTTTGTAATCCCTAGGTGGGTGGATCACTTAAGCCCAGGAATTCGAGACCAGCTTGGGCAACACAGCTAGACCCAGTCTCTTGAAAATAAAATTTATTTATAATGATGACCTGTAATCACCAACACACCACTGTTCAACCAAAGAGAAACTGTCTTTTATAGCTCACAATGCTTCCTACTGTCCTTCCTTAGTCTAAACAAATGGGAGAGGATAACATGCCCTTCCATTAACATACCCCCAGTAATCAGTGAGAACAGACAAATAAACATGGAATGACAAGTATTATTATTTATATTATTTTTTATTTTCTGAGATGGAATCTCACTCTGTTGCCCAGGCTGGAGTGCAGTGGTGCCATCTCAGCTCACTGAAAGCTCCACCTCCTGGGTTCATGCCATTCTCCTGCCTCAGCCTCCCAAGTAGTGGGGACTACAGGCGTCCACCACCACACCCAGCTAATGTTTTATATTTTTAGCAGAGACAGGGTTTCACTGTGTTAGCCAGGATGGTCTCAATCTCCTGACAGGTGATCCGCCTGCCTCGGCCTCCCAAAGTGCTGGGATTACAGGCGTGAGCCACCGCGCCCGGCCTATTTTATTTTATTTTATTTTATTTTATTTTATATTATTTTTTTTGAGACAGAGTCTCGCTCTGTCGCCCAGGCTGGAGTGCAGTGGTGCGATCTCCGCTCACTGCAAGCTCCGCCTCCCGGGTTCACGCCATTCTCCTGCCTCAGCCTCCCGTAGCTGGGACTACAGGCGCCCGCCACCTCGCCCAGCTAGTTTTTTTTTTTGTATTTTTTAGTAGAGACGGGGTTTCACCGTGTTAGCCAGGATGGTCTCGATCTCCTGACCTCGTGATCCGCCCGTCTCGGCCTCCCAAAGTGCTGGGATTACAGGCTTGAGCCACCGCGCCTGGCCCTATTTTATTTTTTTTGAGACGGAGTCTCGCTCTGTCACCAGGTTGGAGTACAGTGGTGTGATCTCGGCTCACTGCAACCTCCACCTTCCGGATTCAAGTATTGTCCTGCCTCAACCTCCTGAGTAGCTGGGATTACAGATGCACACCACCATGCCCAGCTAATTTTTGTATTTTTCTTTTTTTTTTAGAAGAGACAGGGTTTTACCATGTTGGCAAGGTTAGTCTCAAACTCCTGACCTCGGGTGATCCACTGGCCTCAGCCTCCCAAAGTGCTGGGATTACAGGCATGAGCCACCGCGCCCGGCCGGAATGACAGTTCTTAAACCTACAATGACAACAACCTATCCCATCATGTCTCCATTTTCTTGCATGGGAATTAGAGTGAGAACAGTGACCATCTCCATGTCCCACCACGAAATGGTCCTGTTCAGTGGACAGCATTATCAGCCTTATAAAAATATGAAGCTGGAAAGAAACACCAGTTTTTAGCTACTAGAAAGTGTTCAGTTTTGGTAAGAGAACACCTCCAAAAACCAGAAAAAAATAGTACATGCAGAATAAAATATCAACTCTGGGCACATTACCAATCAAATGTAGAGCCCTCAGCATAGTGATATTTCTCAAAGAAAACCCAATCCATTGTAGAGGATTCCTCTTTCTCCATCTTAAAAACTGCAAATAGGCTGGGCGTGGTGGCTCACACCTGTAATCCCAGCACTTTGGGAGACCAAGGTGGGGGGATCACCTGAGGTCAGGAGTTCCGGAGCAGCCTGGCCAACATGGTGAAACCCTGTCTCTACTAAAAATACAAAAAATTAGCCAGGCGTGGTGGCAGGCACCTGTAATCCCAGCTACTCGGGAGGCTGAGTGGAAGAATTGCTTTTTTTTTTTTTTTTTTTGAGATGGACTCTCGCTCATTCCCCCAGGCTGGAGTGCAGTGGTGCGATCTCAGCTCACTGCAAGCTCTGCCTCCCGGGTTCACACCATTCTCCTCCCTCAGCCTCCCAAGTAGCTGGGACCATAGGCACCAGCCACCATGCCCAGCTAATTTTTTTTTTTTTTTGTATTGTTAGTAGAGATGAGGTTTCACCGTGTTAGCCAGGATGGTCTTGATCTCCTGACCTCGTGATCCACCCACCTCGGCCTCCCAAAGTGCTGGGATTACAGGCGTGAGTCACTGCGCCAGGCCAGGAGAACTGCTTTAACCCAGGAGGCAGAAGTTGCAGTGAGTTGAGATGGTGCCACTGCATTCCAGCCTGGGCGACAAAGCAAGACTCCATCTCAAAAAAAAAAAAACTGCAAATACTAGCAAAACCAGTCCCTTCCATACATTCCTGCTTCACCACCCATGGCTGTCACTCCCATTCACCCTGCCCTGAAATGTATGACTCCTGTCAAGGTGTGGCACCA